ATAAATATATTTCAAATTTTAATATATTACTTGAAAATTCAGGATTATAGAGGATTAATTTATTTTTAATAATTTTATACAAATAATCTTTTATTAACTATAATTTCTTTTTGTATATAAATTTATAAGTGTGACGGAACAGACGGCTCTCTTCCGCCCACTGGCTCATACTACATATGTAGTATGATATGATGGCTCTTTTGGACCTTCCTTTCACAGCTTAGAGCTCTGGCTCTACAGCTCTAGACCTAGGCATCGTACAATGCCTATCTCTAGGACTCTTTCACCCTTTTGGGCCTAGCCCTTATGGCTCCCAATACCTGTGTATATAGTCCTCCTTTTAGCATCCTACATAGCTCTTCACTTGTAGATTCTAAGTACACAATCGGAGTCCTGTTTATACCCTTTTGGTCACAGGGATTATAAATAAGGAATAGATTGGATAATATTAATACTATAATTGGGATATAGTTTGTATAGAACTGAACTTATATTACTATTATAGTAGTATAAGGGTAGTTTTTTATAGATTTCATTATGAATTAATTAATAAAAAACAAAGGATATAAAAGGATACTCTATATCCTTTTATATCTACGTTTTTTTGACTAGTCCCGGGAAGGGGATTAGTCTCCTTCCGGTGACATGTACGCGGTGACACAAACGGTAAAGAAAAGATCTAAAAAAGACCCTGAAATCAAGAAACTACTACAAAAACTACTGCCGGTTTTCGAATAATATTAGAGGCTGATGTCTCAAATCCGCTTGGACATACAGCCACGAATAATTTCGGCCCCAAATTCCGATAATCGGTCTGTACGGCTTCGTATCGGCAAGGGAGATCGGCACACTGGTCAAATAGTTACTCTTGGTCTCATGCAAGCCTTTAGAGTCATCGGCACACTGGTCAAATAGTTACCCTTGGTCTCATGTCTCACTGTAACGCCTCAATCGATACATCTTATACCTACCCTGTTCACAGATCTTAAGGGTGTCAAAGTATATCATCAATACGATAGCTCGACTTGTAACCTCATTGCTTTGAGTCACAGACTTCAGAGCCCTTGCTTACTCTATCTATCACTTCTTTTCAATATGGTTCAACACGAGAATCCCACACAATCAAAAGATTGTACAACAGAAAGGTCATTCGATTGCAGCCAACCGTCATTGAATGAAACCCGGCTTATACCTATTACACCGCATTGTTCTTACTCACACGATTTACCTCACTCTCACCCACACGATTTACCTCTCGTATGTAGAATGACAGTCAATTCCAACTTGATAACTAATGTATCTATAGAACATAAAGGAATATTTGAGATCCTGTACCCGAATTCCAGTAAAAGAGTTTGCAGTCATCGCTATTCTTGATGATGGACAGGAAGTCAATTACACTTCCCAAAATTTGACAAACTTCCAGCCGAGAATATTCTCACAACATTTGAAAAATGATTTTCACAGATCTATACAGAAAGCTAGTCAGTCATCTTCCAAGTCATCTTCCAAGTGATCATGATTCCTTCCTTGCTAACTAGATTCATTACAGCTTACCATCAAGATAACGAATCAGATATACAAAGGTTCTCAGGAATTGATTCGACTACTGGAAAAAAAACTCGAACTCACCAACTTCAACAAAATTCCGATGAAACCAATGATGATTCGATGGGATCAAAAAAGATCAAGAGGTATCGTGAATATACGCCGAGTCCTGAAGATATGCCGAGTCCCATTGTGGAGAGACGTCGTCAATATGATGAGTTCAGTGAAGATTTGTCGAGTTCTATTGTGGAGAAAAAAACAATACAATTGAGGATAGGTGATGAGGACGAAGTCGAAAAGTTTTATACTTGTCGATTCATTGATATGCAACAATTTTCCTGTAAAATTATGGGAAAAGCTTTTGTGAAGCTCATTGAACCTAAAAAGCAAACTCATTACCCATACACCAAGGGACCTGAAAAGTCTCCACCATGGTGGCCATCAACATTTGGAAAGTTCTCTGTACCTCACAAAGAACCAGATCACCTCAGAAAACCTGGTAAGTTTTATTTTCTAGGAGTTTCACCTTCTCAAAAAAAGATTTTGTGATTAATATCTTAATTAGAGAGAGTAAGATTGTTGATACATATTTTGAGATTGATTATGGAACCGTACCACAAACAATGTTGGTCCGTCCAAAAACTAGGACTCAACATCCAGATGCTGGAAGAATTCACGATGGAAGCTTTGTCCAATTTCTTTAACAATAAAGAGAATCCTGGGAATCTTGCCAAAAAACCTTTCATAAAGGAAATTTTCAAGGTTGCCAAAAAGGAAGAAGAATACAAGAATGGCGAGATCAGTTAGTATTTTATTTTTTTAATTATTTACCTAACTGACATTTCTTAGCTGGCGATATTTACATTCAGGTAATGTTTGGTAACAAAAACGGTGCAGAGATCGACGAACCGGAAGAGGGGAAAATTGTGGACGAGATCTCAAATGACGACGAAGATTTACAATCCCAAGATATGGAAGCTTCATCACTGAATAACACAACATCGCTGTCCGTTATGCAAATCCAACAAATACAACAGGCTCTACCACATTCAAGTCAACAGAGAGAGCATAACATGTACGCACCACCTCGACACGTCAATTCACAACCAGAAGATCATATACATGATTCGTCTTATATGAATACTACTGCTGGATCGTCTTATATGAATACTACTACTGGATACGTACCACAAATAAATTTCAACAAACAAAACAGCCCAAGCCAGCGTTCCATGTCCACTTCCATGACCACGACCCAATTCCAAAACCCGCAACAGTCAAATGTCAACTGGACACCATCCTTTTACAACAACGCATCCCAATCGCAATCCTTCATATCCAATCCTCCACAATCATTCTCTTCTAATTTATATCAACTCCCTCCACCCAACTCTACCTCGCAATCCTTCATATCCAATCCTCCACAATCATTCTCCTCTAATTTATATCCACCCAACTCTCATCCGGTTGCCCAACCCTTACATAATAACTTCGATAGACTCCCCCATCGATCTCAATACGATGCCACTCCCCAAATAGGATCCCAACTCCGAACAGGGAGTTTGGAATATCTACATCAAGTCCCAACGCATCAACATCACGGGGTATTCGACTTCCTTGACGACAACACTTACGAAAATCACGATGCGGATATGAAAAGCGATTAATTATAATTGGACAATCTTTATGTGAACCAAGTCACATGGAGGATTTACACTTTCATTCATTGTATGCATTGGAGCAACGGAGTGGACAGTATAGCATAGTATGTGTAGCTGGCATATCATTGTCTATATACATATGTGAAGTGTGTTGGTGAGCGGTGGTGCAAATGTTCGAACTTTTTTTCTTCTTTACTTTGCAATCATTTCTTTGATTCTTTTGTTATATGTTTGTTTTTTGATATTTTGATTATTCTTTTGATGTGGATTTTTTTCTTTATCTTTAATGAATGAAGGGAGGGAGGGGGAGAAATTGGTCGGAGGGAGGTGAGAAATTGGTTGGAGGGAGGGGGAGAAATTGGTCAAAAATTTAATGATGGAAAAGTTTGCAAATGAACTCGGATGCGATACGATGTGATGCGATGCAATGCGATGCAATGCGATGCAATGCAATGGGATCTGCTTTTGGATTTAGTTGATATTATTTTTCACTTGAACAAATACAAATCTTAATGCATAATTTGTCTTGTTATATTATATTATGATATCTTTATGAAAACTGGTGGACTGTATAATCTATCACAGAGTGATATTTGGAATAGACAGGGGAGGTAATTAGATGGATGAATTGGATGGATAGATGAATTGCACGAATTAGGTATCTGTATATAGTATTATCGTCATATCTTACAAGGTCACCTGAAACTTAGGGTTTACTTGAGGGCGGTACAAGTTATAGTCACAATCACGATCACGATTTCGAAAAAGTAGGTTATAGTTGTATGACTACTCATTAATTTATTAAGAGGGATTTGGAATTGGAATTGAAATAAATAAATACAGGGCAAATATATTTATACAAATCTCGATTAACAAGAAGGAAAGAAGAATTGAAGGAAAAAGGTATAGAAAAAAGGCATGGAAATGATATGTGGAAATCGTAGTCAAGGAGGTATTGGAAGGGGAGGGGTATCTATCGGTAGGGTAGGGTAAAAGGGAAAAAGAAAGGAAAGAGATATAATTAAAGGGCTATGGGTATAGTGTTGTGGTATGATATATGGATAATTGATTAGATTGTTTCTTGGAAAAGGTGATGAAATAGAATGGTGCATTTGCTTGCTTACTTATTAGATTGCTTTTGCGTATACATTCTATTTATTTACTAGTATATAAGCTTGTAATAAGATAGATCCCTTAGACAAGGATTATTTACTTACCGATATTATATTATAGTTTCCACTAATACCTGTAAAGCTTGGACAACGACCTAGACCGAAGACTCGGACAGTGAATGTAATACTGATATAAATATGATAGGCGATTGGGCATGTATAGAAGGATGCAGTGCGTTTTTGTTGAGAAAGGGGGGTATGTTACATTTAATGATATTAGATTGATACGAGGTTCTAGATTGTAGGTATAGTACATTGAGACTCTGACAGCAACCTACTATAGGGGTCCGTGTACATTACACACCAAGATTCATAAAATGTAAGTACAAGGTTATATCAGTGAATGCTGGTGAGAACCAATTGACTTACAATGTGTCTTTCTTGGTCTGTCACCACTATCTCCTCTAGATCAGCTCGAAATACCCCTGATCCGATGCTAGGGTCCCCTGCCTGCGAATTATCACTCAGAGTGTAAAGTTGTAACCCACCACAACACCAATAATTCAAACTTCACGATCTTGTACTTCAGCCACTCATCAATATTATCACAAACCTCCAGCACTATCACCCAAGAGACTTTTGAGTTTCCCAGTATTTTTTTTCTTTTCTCGCGGTGGAGATCCATCTCAAAGTCAGAAAGTCTCGTACTCATATTCCTTGAATCCTTGTCGCCACCAACTTCCCACTAACCCACAGATGTCCATTCTCCTAATTAGATCGATACTACCTAACTAACATTTACCTACAATCCAATTACACCATATACTTCGATCAGATTCTATCATCTATACCTATTAAAACTATACATACGAGACAAAGACTATATATATTCTTCATGGTAACACTGAGAAAAGCCACACACATACATACTCGAGTACTTCCTTTTTTTTCGCCTGTTTGCCTTTCCCGCCATATACGCCTCAGCCCTTACTTCTTCGAATCCATACTTCCAATAAGGGACTCTTCGCCTGACATCAGTTCTAGACTTTATATTCGAAGGGGTCGTTGATGATCCTCCCCCACCATTCCCCCACGTTTTCAATGATATTCTTTGAGCGACGAATAAACTAAGAATATTACCTCGTTATGATGCAATCTTAATTTCAAATATAGTTCGATCACTTGATAATTTTATTTAATCTCATTATAAGATTATCACCTCCTCCTCTTTTTATTATGAGAAGATTTCTAATTTTGAATAGAATTACAAATTGTTGGTATCACTGTGGTGGGGTGATGAAGTGTCAATAGTACTATCGTGTTTCATGTGTTTATATTGCCTTAAGGGACTAAACTATGGAGATGCTAATGCTAAAAGATATATGCTTTGTGGTGGTCAAAGCGTCGCTTATTGCCCTAACCCTTAGCCCTACCGCTCACTACAACTAAGTGAGTGATATCCAGACACAAATCGATTGTAAGATTAGAATACAGTAAATTACTCTCATACTATTTAGATTCTATAGTAGATTCTATAATAGAATCTATAGTGGAAGGGTTTTTATGATGAGAAGAAGATATATCTAGTAGAAGGGTTTTTATGATGGAAGGGTTTTATAGTGAGAGGAAGGTATATCTAGTAGGAGGGTTTCTATGGTGGGAGGGTGAATATAGTTGAAGTGGTAGATAGATACAATGGAAGGGTGGAGATCTATAATAGAAGGGTAGAGTTTATAGTAGAATATTGTGGAAGAGTAGAATCTATGATAAGAGATTAGATTTTAAGTGGTATGATAGTAATTTAAAGTAATAACAATAAGAGATTAAAGTAATATCTTATGTACTAGACTTTCTAGAATCTTCATTCAAGTTTATCAAGAACCAATAATAATAAGTGATTAAAGAGGAGTTATTAGTCATCATATTCCTATAAAAAAAGGTCTTCTTTCTTTTTGAAGTTGTTCAACTTTCTTCCTTTCTGATATATCTCTGCCCCCCGAAGTTAAGCCTATTTACAACTATATCAATACTTAAACTCTCTATATTCATTTCAAAAAGGAATTACTTGGTAAGTACACAAACCAATACAAACTTTATCTATTCAACATTCATCAAAATGGATTTCAATCACCCTTCTTCAGAGTCAGAGTTCAGAATTGTCACTAATAATGAAGAAGAAATAGAAGAAGAAATGGCGGCAGCAGTATTGGATGTGCATAAATCAATGATGGAAATGCAAACAACACATAAGGAAGAGCTTGCTTCCATGAAAAAGATGTACAAGGAAAAGCTTGCTTCCATGCAAGAAAAGCTTGCTTCCATGAAAGCAACACACAAGGAAGAGCTTGCTTTCATACAAGAGATGTACGAGGAAAATCTTGCTTCTATGCAAGAAAAGCTTGCTTCTATGCAAGAGATATATGAGGAAAAGCATGATTCCATGCAAGATATGCAAGAGGAAAAGCATTCTATCCAAAAGATGTACAAGAAAAAGTTTGCTTTTATGCAAGAGATGGAGGAAAAGCTTGCTTCTATACAAGCAACACAAACTTTCGAGAGAGCTTGCTTTATTCTTCTTATTGGAATTATAATCGCAGATTTTCTTTTCACATAATAAATTATCAAGGTAAATCCTCCTCTTCTTCAAAACGATCGGAATATAGCTAACTCTTATCTTTTTTTTTTTTTTTTTGAAGAACTTATTCCTTACATTACCCGATTTAAAACTCAAGTTTTACTTCTCGAATACAACAATGTTTGGTTAAAAGGTTAATCAAAGATGGTAGTTTGGTATACGAGAATTCGGTGTTATGGTGGAATAATAGGGTTAGGAGGGAGGGAGGAAGTTGAGTTGAGTTGGGGTTGAGTGTGAAGTGTTGATTAGGTTGTTGATGGAAAGATGGATAGATGGAAAGATGGATGGATAAAGTATGAGGGTTATGGAATTTTGCATGGATTTTCGCATGGAGTTTTGCATAAGGAATTTCATTAGAGAATCTCATTCGGAAGGATCATTTGGGAATTTCAATAAAGATGATATTTTACCAAACAATATTCTCATCATCAATACAATACTTGATTCTTTCTTCTTATATTCGTTTCTTTGTGATCAAAAGGTTATAGACAGGACTCTGATTGTGTACTTAGAATCTACAAGTGAAGAGTTATGTAGAGTGCTAAAAGGAGGACTATATATACAGGTATTGGGAGCCATAAGGGCTAGGCCCAAAATAGTGAAAGAAGAACTAGAGATAAGCATCGTACGATGCCTAGGTCTAGAGCTGTAGAGCTAGGGCTCTAAGCTGTGAAAGGAAGGTCCAAGAGAGCCGTCGTATCATGCTACGTACGTAGTATAAGCCAGTGGGCGGAAGAGAGCTGTCTGTTCCGTCACAGATTTCAAGAAACAATTCTAATCAAACAATTCTGATAATCACGATTCTTCAACAGTTGCTATTGGATCTGTCCGCAAAGCCGAACTCAAGACAGCCAAGTCACAAGAGAAAATCTCTTTTGATGGTGATACTAAATCTTCTGGACAGCTGAATCAATCAAAGATGGATTCAAACAAGAAAAAGTGTGGCTTGCCTGAAGCCAACCAGGAGAAGAGAAAACATACTGTTTTGGGAATACCCACCAACTCATCTGACTAGCCTACTCTAGCCATTTCAAAGTCTCCCCCTTCAAGTATTATTGATGGAAATCCACCACAATTCCTGTTCTTCCTACCCTTAATGATCGCTGAACTAAAGAAGTAATCTTATTGATTTTGCTACTTAAGTTGTGCCGACTATCGTAAGAATCTCGAGTCTAATCTCCATTCGCTATGCAAGCTTATACCGTATAAGAATAATACACTAGGGAGCAATGCTTGGTTATTCGTAAGAAGTTACAAACAAATAGTCTTATCAGAAAGTACTGGAGGGTGATCCTCTAAGATATTCACTGTTTTTTACTGAATATTTACATTTTAGTACATAGTTAGCTAGCTATACCTAGCCTCTCTAGCCCTCAGCCCTAGTCTTTCAACTCTTCTCACCCTCAATTCCTCAATCCGCTAGCTAAAGGCTAGGGGCTAGGGGCTAAGGGGATAAGGGGCTATTTCCTGTTCAGGATCAAGATCTTGCTCTGGATGCCGTGGGAGATTCCTCTGGTAGTATATACAAGTGGTCGTATGCACTGAATTTCCCCTTGATGAGCGGATCAATTCGTAGTCGACGAATCAAAGCCAACAAAACTCATACTTACACGCACGACCTAGTCATCATTAATTAGTTACCGGTAATCCATATATTTATTAAAGATTCGTAGGATGGAAACTCACAGGTCATATGGTCGCAGCCATCATTTTTCTCGATGCGCACTTGACAATTTGGACACCGTTTGGTAATCATTTCCATAAGTCTCTGGCTTTGTTCTTCCTGGCGCAGCCGCTCTCGCGCTTGGATATCGTATTCGCCACATGTGAGACCGGTGTGCCAAGGCATTTTGTGCGTGAAGCATGTTTTGAAACCACAGGTTCCATATTTCATGATTGGCCGGTTGTCATCACCGTCATGTATTTGACCGTTGTCACAATGAAGACCTAGACAATTTGTGAAATTGGGATCACTGCGGATGTAGGATAGAAGTGAGTTTTGTCGTATCTATCTCAGATATTAGTATTAGCATCGGTGAATATAATGAGGGTGTCAGGTGATGTTGACATACCTAATAAAATCAGCCTCCGAGGCAAAGGACTTCTTCACATTATCGAAGGTCAGAAAGGCAGGGCATTCGGGACATGTAAGCCGATCCCACTGTTTGCTTTCAATCTGTGCTCCGATACTTCGAGAAAGACATGCGTGACAGCAAGTAGGATCATGCATACAATCAGCGAAAATCCGATGTGGGAAGTTATCAAAAATGAGCTCTTCTGTGCATATAGAACATTCATGGAGTCTCAGACCGAGGACGCGTTCAGGTAAAACCTTATTTGTGCCGTTGTCCGCCATATTGATTTTCGATGATTTTGATAGTATGACGAGAGTATAACCTTGTTGCGGAGTCGTACAGTTGAGAGAATAGTAGCTGAAAGCTCTTTTCTGATGTGTGAAAAGAGTAATAGTCGGCTCTTCATGGAGCGGACGCCTGGAACCGACTATTAACACTCAATAGATACTCGAGTTCGGGGAAAGATGATAAGAGTCGAGTTGATTTGGGAAGCGGGTGAATATTCTTTTGTAAGTTTGGTGGTTATGTAAGTTGAAAGTAGTGAGTGTTCGAAGTGATGCAAATTCTAATGGACTTGACCATAAATCACCTTCACTCAAATGCGAAGATCTAACGAAAGTGGAATCCGAAATGCTGTCGGAGCGAAGGGTTATTTCAGCAGATATCAAGATCAGAGGAGTTATACAGAGATGAACATGTAGTGTGAAACTTCTTTGATTGATTTGAAGTTGATATTGATGAATTAAAGTAGATTGTGAAAGAAAAGAGGGATAGAAGAGATTTATCCCCACTACCTCCAAAAAGCAAACATTAATGAGTGTAACCTCAACACATACACAATACCAGATCTCAGAATGATCAAATCAATTTTGACCTGAATGGTACCAGGTCAGAATCGCGAAATTCAATTATCAACGACATTAACCAATCTGTGTAAAACTGTGTTATGATCAACATTGATATTCTGTATATTCAGAAGCTTTTTCTGATGTGAAATAAGAGAACAAATACTTACCCTGAGTTCCTACAGGAATATGTGATTCAATTGTTCCCTCCTTGGTGATAACCATTTTGATCATTGTTCCCGGAGTAATATGAAGAAGATTGGCCTGCAGTTGTTGTAGGTGTATAAGTATAAGTTGTAGATGTTGTAGGTGTGTAAGTCGCGCATGTGGTAGTGGTGGTAGCTGTAGTAGCTGTTGCTGTAGATGTAGAGGGTGTATTTGTGTATAATGCAGCGGGAGGGTATGTGGCATAACCACTGGGGTATACTTGGTTATGTCTCCGGCCTACACTTGGATCGTTCATCATCTGAAGCAGCGTTTCGCCTGAGTGAGTAGCAGGCCACTGTCTTTCTTCCTCCTGTGTAACGTGCACACCAGGGGTCCGGATTAGAGCCGATCGCGCAAGGGGAGCGTAAGATCTTCGCGGAAGTCGTCGATCTGCCATTTCCACTATATCTGTGTTGTATGTATTCAAATGCATTACAGGAAGTAGAGATAAATCGATCCTATATAATCATCACATTCTAATGTTTGGTGATACAACATATTTACCCCGCATCAATATTAGAAGATTATTCATCTTGATGCATATTAGAGGACAAGAGGAGGAGACCATCAAATGAGACGCAGAATACAAGTAAGATGGCTTGATCAACGATACACATATTAGAGGGAGGGGAGGAGACCATCGAACGAGATGCAGAATACAAGGAATGGATAAATCAAGATACATTCCTCACCTGTTTAAAGGATATTGAGCTGCGCAATCATAGAAAACATCTGACTATGAACAGATACAACGTGAAGTATTGTACAATCTGTAATTCGAATACAGCATCGTCAGCAGTATCAAATTTGTATCGCAAAAGTGATAGCATCAACCTTGGACACGACGAGACATCAATGGGCACTAGATCTCACACCTGGCTGGTAGACTATATATAACCGCTTCTATTATGTATTGTATAGATATTGTGAAATGACTGCTGATGCACTACATCATTTTAGAACTGCACTACATGAACAAGTATATCAAGTATACTCGAGTATTACTTTTGTTCTTCCTGTGAAACAGACATTACTTTATGTCCTCAAGATCCGAGAGAGAAACTATATGTTGTGGGTTATGGTACACGATGCTGGTACAATTGATTTCTGGAAATGATAAATTGTTATCCCCCTGCATAGGAGATATGTATGTGGAGAGGAGTTAACAATGATAGAATATGTAGAGATGTGTACGAAACCAATGGAGTTACCAAGCCATATTGGGATGATATCGATGCAGCTATGGAATTGTTACATAGAATAGAACCCTTTCTGTTACAAGCCTTAGTAACCATGGGGGATGATATCGAGGAAGAGAGTGACAGTGACGAGGAAGAAAGCAATTGAGACGAGGAAGAGAGTGATAAAGACAGTGAAGAAGACGGCGTCAGAGAAGATAATAGCAACGAAGAAATGAGCTTAACATACCCAGCCTATAAAGTTACCCTCGTACAACAATACATACATGCATATATATAACAACAGCACGGGAGTTGCGACAGTAGTATAGAAATTCGGACAACAATAACATAACCTGTGAAAGCGTAGATATCATCTGAACCATTGTTTGGTTCTGATTAAATATACTCGTAAACCAAAGCTTAGTTGTTATCATTTACTCGTAGTGTGAATGGAGTTACAGTATGAGATGTGACTGACTGTAGGGAAAAGGCCAAATAATCCGATAATGTTGAAATTTCACGAGAGGCAACAAGAGTGAATGAGACTTTACTAGATCACATTGCTGCAATGTATTTTTGAGGGGTTGATGGGACAAGAGACAGGAAGTAATCGCGATATTCTTTGGAAGGATCGGCATAGGTACTAGGTAACCAGAGTGAATGAAATTGATACTTCCATGAAGAGAGTATGGAAATGGAGGGAAGTGATTGAAATTAATAAGAGTTTCGGAGGAGAATTAAGAAGTAATCGCAATGTGTTTCTGTGCTGTGAGGTATGCAAATGCAGGGTTTAAGATTTAAGGTTTACGGTAGGTATTAGTGTGAAATACGCGCCTAAGACAAATTACTATTCCGAACCACATCCCATACTTGACCATACTTTCTGTCTCGCGATATCAACCATAATTTCAGATCACACCTCTGTGTACGTCACATTGTTTCTTGCCAACATCCCGATATTATACAATGTTCCCTACCACAATCGTCATCTACCTCGTTTATGTACATATTACCAGTGGCACAATCACTACCACCAATCCAAATAGCACTGGCTCTTCGACGCGGTAGTAGAGAAAGGAGAAAATCGCAAAAGCGCTGGGAATCCCGGGAACATTGTAAGCAGATAGAAGCCGAATACGGCTAAGTAGTTAAAGATGACCTCTATCTCCCGAAGGGTACTCTGAACTTATATTCCGCGATGCAGCTGCGAGGATTAGAAGGATAGGCCAAGATCTCAAATATCAACTTGTGGTTCAAAGAGTCTACAAACAAGACGAAGAGGAGTTACTTGACGATGAGGCTGTAGATAACGAGACGGCATAGCAGCTTTAACAGGCGAACGTGACGAGAAGACATTCCTACTAGACGAAAGTTTACATTTCCGATCGGAGATTGCAGGGAAAAGGTTCTTGCTTGGAAATATCTGAGCGGTGACGCTGGTGATTTATACGAATTCGTTTGCGACAATTCGGTGGAGAAAAGTCAGGTTCAATCATTTGAGCTTACCTCCGTTCATTGCTAATTTGAAAAGAAAATTCAGGAGAAGTTATTTGACAACTACCGAGGAGGAGTTGAGTTAGAGGAAGAAGAACCGATCCTATATACTAGTCTGTCTATAAGCTCTATAATACTGAGTCCTGTGAAGTCTTTTCTAGCGATTAATTAAGCAATTACCAGAAGTACAGCGAATTCTCCGCTAAAAGAAGATATGAGTCCTGTTACGAGAAGATCGAGAATACCGCTCAGAACTTCTTCGCTGGTTTATAAAGGTACAACAAAGGCGTTAGCAGTTGTAAACCATTTCGAATCCATTTATGTGTTGGCAGATGAGGTTGCAGAGTTACACTTGTTTGATTTTGTTACTGGAGCATTTATTAAGTAGAATGCTGAGGTTACGGTAACTGTTACTGAAATTGGGAAATGGCAATACTGGCTGTAACTTACTAGCAAGAACAGAGACTGGTTAGGTCAAGCTATTATTGCGGATATTTGGTCTCGACGTTAGTGCTGATGGATGTTAGGTTCTGGCCACTTGCCGCACTTTTCTTCTTCTCATCGACAACTCTCCAAAAAGATGGCAAAATGAAGGCAAACTCGGGTTCGAAAAATCATTTGGTAAAGACTCAAAACCCCAACCCTGTCGTCTTGGTCTCACTCCAGCCCATGTCGGCCAATTCCAATACGAGACTAGCACTGCCCTTTCGTTTAAACTGGCTCGATTTAACAATGTTGAAGATCTTTCCAAAACATATATCATTACAGCTACAAGTCTTTTCATCGTAATATGGAATATAAAGAAGATCTTGAAGGATAGTAAAGATCCTTATAGTATCAAACACTACGCTAAAGAAGTGAAGGCAGACAATTTCAAGTATGGCAATGACAAAAATGTTATTGTGACATTACCGAACGAAGTTAATATGGTTGCAAAACAAAGCTTCAAGAAGTCGACCAAAGAAAGTATTGCGATGCTGGTTAAAGTTGAATAGAGCTATAGCAAGAGAGAAAGTGCGAGTATTGGGGGTAGTGATAGTAGCAGTTATAAGTTGGGCAGGGAGGATATGATTAATAAATCCTTATTAACCGATTGTTGCGAAATCCGGTATAGGATGGATGGGAATATTAATGCTGGGGTGGAGTGTATCGGGACTTTAGTCAATGCTTTTTACATGCTTTCTTTCTTTCTAGGGAGCGAGTGATTATTTCTTGAGTTTCACGTTTTGGGGGACACGATTGATTTTATTTGATTTGATTCACAATGTAGTTCATGCTTGCCGTTTGACGAAAAGATCATTTGACGGACGGACGGATAGAAAGGAATAACAATTACAAGCAAGAGATATCCTGGGAGCTTTTCATACAGGTTACAGAAAAGAAAAAAACTGTATGCGGGTGCAGCTGGGTTAGGAATGTCGGCAGGAAGGAAACGCACATGGATGGATTTAGGAAGTAAGGTATGAGTAGATGGGATGGGCATACTAGCTAGCTAGCATTAGTTACTTAGTTAGTAGTGAGTGAGGAAGCAAATGAAATCTTTATCCATTAGTGTTTGTTTATTTATTTATTTAATAAATTAACGTCCGGGGGGAAGGCGGAGCCTACCCACGACCTCCCGAAGGGTACTGGGGACGGGCTAGAGTAAGGTACTAATTACATAAACACAGAGATCCATATTTATCACCTCGAGATAGCCAATTTTCCTGCATTTCCGATACAGGCTTTTAGTTCCAGAGCTAAGTGAGGGGATACCTTTCCTTCGCTTTAGTGATAACTTGTTGTGTATGAGTTGCCCATTCTGTTTAGGGCATGCTCATTGTTGTCAAGGGCTTTTACAAGCTTGTATAGTGTTATTTATTATAACACTGGGACAGAGGTCAGGTTGTCGCAGGGTTTTTGGTCCTGTGACGAGGGTAGGTGCAGGTAGATATAGGTATATGCAGGTAGGTGCAGGTAGGTGTAGGTGGGGGAAGGTACATGCAGGTATATTGGGGTTAGGTTGTAATGCCTTTATACAGCTTGATAGGGGTGTTCGAAGCACCTGGTTTGTTTAAGGAAGTCTGCAAAGTCTTTCGGCTTTCCAAACAGGCTTTTGATGTAGTCCATCCCTTGTTGCTTGTTGGCTGGTGGGAAAGGAGCCCTGTTGGGCCATTTCCTAAACTTTCGGACCGAGTAGTCACAGAAGAATATGTGATCTGGTGTTTTGTTGTAACCATATATACAGTTGAGTTCGGCATCAGTGTACTGGAAGCGGCAGTGGTAGAAAGAAAAGTCTCCGTGGCCAATACACATTGCTAGGAGTCGATGGAATATCCCTCTTGGGAGTGTGAGCTCGGGGGGCTCCTTGATAGAGTATTCCAGTTCCCATTTCGAATATGTTGCCGATAGAGAGTTCTTAGCAATACACCACCAATTGTAGGTTGTGTTTCGTTTTGAAAGGCATGCTATTGATCCAATATCACTGATTGTGGGGTGAGCGCAGTTATCTTCTGATACTCGTCCACTCTTAGCACCGAGGTCTGCCAATCGGTCAGCCTGTTCGTTTCCTTCGATACCAATGTAGCCAGAGGACCAGCGGATATTGATATCTCGAGTTTCTATTATTCCATAGCATTCGAGGAAAGCCCATTGTAACAAGGCAACTGCGTTTGTACAGATACACCAAATGACTGAGGTACTATCGATACATATCGTGATTAGGGTTTGTTTGTCCGTTGTTAATCGAACAATGTATTGTAGGCCTTTGAGGGCTCCTATTGCTTCTGCATCGAATACATAGGATATTATATTGATAGCTCCATATCCGGAGCCAACTAGTGCCTGTCCTTTGTAGATAGCGTATCCATAGCCAATGAACTTGCCCTGATCGTATTGCTCTGAGCCATCGGAGAAGACTGTGGTATGGTCCTCCAGGAGTAAACTCCACCATTCCTTGAACTCTTCAGCAGCTGTCTCTTTCTTGACACCTTTGGTTGGGTTAGTGTAGCAACCCGGTGAGAAGTGCAAGGGTGTCAGTATTGGTCGAGAGGCGAATGAAACCAGTGGTTCAAGTGCTTTGAGTTTCGTGCCCTGGTGCCACTTTTCTCGGAAGCTTGCGAGCCGTGTAACTAATGGGTATCCTGCATCGACGGTTTTCAGTCACATAGCGAATCTTATCCTAGCATACTCGAGTGCGACTATCCCAGATGGCAGGCCAGCGTCCCGTAGTATACTCGCTGTTGGAGAGATCCGCCATACCGGCAGAACTCCTCTAGCAGCTAATGTTATGATCCGGTCCACTTTGTTGATGTGGGAACCTAGTCTAGTACTGACCAAAGTGTTCCTAGCAAAGCCTCCTATCGGCTCAGTCTCGTGCGCCCGTGATACCATGCTTCTGAGCCAAATAGTATGGATGGGAGTATATATATAATCACCGCCTTTCGTAGAGATGCTGCTAAGGGCCATTCTTAACTTTAGCTAGACCTCTGATGTATTGTGTTACTCTATGTGCTTTATTTTCCCTCTCTGCAAGATGTCTTTTAAAGGTCATTTTGCAATCGAACCACACTCCTAGCCAACGGAGCGCAGATTGTTCTCCTGTGTCCTCTGTGTCGGAGATAGCTCTGATTGTGAGATTTTCGTTTACTACTAGATCCGGAGTATAGATAGCTTGTCGACAAGAGAGGTGAATCATCTCAAGTTTTTCCGGGGCGAAGGCGATCTTGTTCTGATCACCCCAGTTTATAGTCTGGCGTATAGTGCGTTGAAGCATTGCGATGTTCTGGCGAACCCGCGGGCCTATGTGGTATATACAAATGTTGTCTGTATACCCGAATCTGAGATTCTTGTTCTGATTGAGTAGCTCTTCTAAGTACATCATATATAAAACTAGAGAGAGTAGAGATCCTTGTGGTGTGCCATACTAAACATATTGATAATCTGTGATAGCTGTCTCGAGACGAACCCTTACCTCCCTATCTCCAAGAAAGCTTTGTATCAGTTTCAAAAGCTCTATAGGCTATCCCTGTTTTGCTATCCTAGCCAGGAGTTATTATGAGAGAAGTGTATCGAATACCCCTTGGATATCGAGAGTGACCATAATGACCTCATGTTTCTTAGCAAACGCAACCTCTACATCGTGGGTAAATACTGTGACCAGATCCATTACCGAACGCTTCGGAAAGGCTCCACCATGTTACAGACTTAGAATACTACTTATCGTTGCTGTCCACAAAATTCGTTTCGCGATTATCCGCTCAAATCCCTTGGATATACAGAAGAATAGCACAATTGAATATTATAAGCATACAGAAGATTTGTCTTTTTTACCGACTTTCGGCAGTATAACCACCTTTGCTTTTCTCCAGTTTCTAGGAAAATAACTGGTTTTCAGGCATCTGTTGAATAGAAGGAGTATGAATTTTTTGATGCTGTCCCAGCAGGTTTTTAGCAAACAAACGATGATTTGATCCAGATCTGGGGATGTGCTAACAACTCTTAGTATATTTCGCTTGATCTCTTTTATAGAGATATCTTGTAACTATTTTAATATAGATTATCAAAATAGATCCTATAGAGGATCTACTAATAGATTATCTATACTATCAAACCGATTGAGTACTTGCTGTTAGAAAGTCTTAGCTTTCTCTAATATATCCTTTATAGATCTATCATTTATAATAAGCGGCGGAGCCTTGAGATTGGGTTTTAGTTTGTATCATTTAACTATTTTATACAGATCCTTATCGCTCTCAACTTTATTGATAATCTTTTGCCAGTATACCTTCTTGGACTGGTATACCGTAGTTAGTAGTATATGTTTGGTATTCTCGGTATCACTGGAGCCTACTCGATGCTTCTGTTTGTACATGGTGTAGGCTATTTTGTATTCATCAGTCCACCAGAGGGCAGTGGTTTCTCTGCTACTTTGTAGTTTTCCTGCAGTGTTTATAGATTCTTCCAGAATATGGAAGAGTTTGTCTACCAATATATTTATATTCTCTTCAATATCAAGGTATAAATCCAAAAATATAGGAACTGCGTTTTGTATAAGTTTTTTAAACAATAGAATCTCTGTCTCATTTATTATGATTTTGTTTAATTTGATAGATTTTATGTCCTTGTCTAGTATTATTATAACCTGGATTTTATGGTCCGATCTACAATAAAGTTTTGGGTATACTATTGTTTCTGCGAATACTATATTCGAAAAGATCAGATCGATAATGTAGCTAGCAATATAAATAGGAACTCTGGGTTCGTTTATGTAGTTTATTCCTATATTAGTCGCCCATTTTGCAAAGAATTGGCCTTAGTCTACAATAGCTATTTCTGGTTCAAATATATCGTGTTTCGTATTGAAATTTCCTTCTATCAAAGTTCGTGTAGGATAGTCCAGGTTAATGATAATATCTATTATTAATCGAATTCCTGATTCCCGATATACATTGATCACCTGAAAGCCGTTGACTTCAAGCCAGAGCAGATCTCGGTGAGTTTGTAGTCTTCGTTGCTGGACCTGGAGGTTCGCTCCTTTCCGGATATATATCATGGTCCAGGGTCTCTCTGCTTTATGTTCAGGTCCGGTTCCATTTTCCCAGTTGTTCACAGGTACAAAGCATTCATATCCTAGGTGGTTCTGTATCCTGGTACCTGGATAGGTCGAGGGCTCTTGTATACAGAGGACTTCTATGTTCTTGTTGAATACCTGCTACAGTATTACTATATATACATCTGGCATTTTCCTTAAATTTGCCTATTCTACCCTGATATCTTGGGTAATAGGATTGGGGCAGTATTTGCTGTAATGCCTGTAAGGGCGTCCTAACATTCAGAAGGAATATCGATATTCATGTCTGTGGATTCCTTGATATCCCGTTGCAGACTCCTTTCAGAGAGTTCTGCGAGATTTATAATGCTATTGTAAGCAGCGCTCCGCTTGAGTTTCTTTCTGGAGCTTCCGTTACCTTGGCTTGGTGTGCTTACATTATCTTGGCCCAAGAGAGGGGATGTAGAGATCGAAGGAGTGCCTTCTTTCTCGTATACATCTATTATCCCTTCAGGGCTAAAGAGTGGTATTATTACCTGGACCTACTGTGGGCTAGGTTCTGGTATCATATACACCTTGTTGATTGCTCTGTTGTATGCTTTGATTATGTTACACTCTTCCTTGGTAAAGCAAGTTACTTTCTCTTTGTTAACTTTTGGGATTGTTAGGCATCCAGTGTGTCCTGCTGCAAAGGGGTTATGGCAATTGAAGCATTTCTTAGCTGCTATGCATTCGTTTCCTGTGGGTCCAGTGTGTTTGTGTATTATGATACTGCATGTGTTGCATCTGATATCAGATCTACAAGTTACTGGGTTGCAGTATGCTTGGCACCTTGGGTTGTATATTGCTACTCATAGTTTCGGTACTAGAGGGCAAGATAGGGTTGAGCATCCGAAAAGTTTGAATCGTAGAGTTGCTTTAGTGAAATTGATAACCTATGATATCTTAATTATAATAAGGTTTGGGCCTTGTCCTTTGCATGGATGATATTCAACAGGCAGACCCCTGTCTGTATTTCCGCCTCTTCATTAATTATATTCACTGTTACTAAAAAATAAGTTCCATCGAGATTCTGGAAGACTGTGGGTATATGCACTATTAGATAACTGTGCCATGTTTCTGGTTTGAACAGCTTTTCGCTATCCAGTATATCCATTGCTTTGTTAGCAATTAGATCTGTCAGTATGAGGTCCCGGACTATAGCATTGATGGGGTGTACAGCCCATCCTGTGCGGATTGGGGAGATTGATGTGATATCTCTGAAGTTGAGATCGGGCATTTCCTTTGCAAGGGTTGTTCTGAGTATATATAGATCCTTTCTTCTAAGAAGAGTTCCTGGCTTGGCTACTGTAAGGATCCGGATATCCTCTTGTGTTTTTGTGGGTTGTTTGGGAAGAGTTTTTCTCTTAGGGCCTGGTTTAGTGTGTGGAATGATCTTGGCTTCTTTTGAAGATATACCTGAGTTTTTCGGGGTTTTCATGATGTCCGCCTATGAGTTCGAGCTTGTTTTTGTTATTTGCTTTTGTTATGTTTCTGAAGGGCTTTTGGGGTTTAGGATAAACTCGAGCTGATCCTTAGGATCTGGATCATTTCAGCTTGAAGTGCGTTGGCAAGTTCGGTGTGTACTGGTGTGTGGTTTATATTGAGAGCCTCGATGTATGTGAGGCATTCGTTGAAGATATACTTTCGGACCTGGGCTTCGTTTTCTGCGGAGTCGAGGAGTTTTATAATCTCCTTTGCGCTCGCGAAGCATATTGTAACTATGGAATCTTCTGAGGAGCTCGTATATAGCTCTTTTCCATTGCTTGATCGGAAGGGGTAAGGTGAAGGGAAAGGCTAGAGGCTAAGTGAAGTCGACGTTGGTCCCGGGTGGTCGGCGGGTGGGTGTCGCTGGAGCCATGGCTCGGCGGCGAGGTGTCAACTGCTTCTGCGGTTCGATGTGTTCGTGTATGTACTTATGGTACAGGTGCTCAATATGGCATTGAGCTTGCTGTCGCGAATATGTTGCAAAACCGTCAATTGTAAAAAACTCTGCATTAGTGTTTGTTATGGATTATATGTAGCTGGTAGGTGTTAGGTGTTGGTGGTAGGTGTTGGGGTTAAGTGTTAGGTGTTAAATGTTAAATGAATTAATTAATTGAAGTTTGGTCTGGGTTTAGGTCGGATGGATGGGTGGATGGGTGGGTGGCGGGGACGGGGAACGAGGAGATGGAGAAAGTAGCGGGGGATTTTTATGAGGAGTTGGTGAGGTTGGAGGGGGTATTTGATGAGATTGCGTTGGGGGTGGATGATAAGACGGTGTTGTATAGGGCTTTGGTGCCAGGGAGGACGGCGGTTAGTATTTTGGTTTGGGGTGTGGTAAGGGGGATGGGAGGGAGGAGATGGGAAGGAGATGGGAGAGGAGATGGGAGAGGGTGGGTATGGATATTGTTTTCATAAAGTTATGTTATGTATGAATCCCGGATCTTGGAATCAGAGGAATCAGAGGAAACTTTCGAAAAGTTGGCTCAGGTACAATACGTTGTTGTATCGAATTTAGATCACCATACATCCATAGGTACTCCAACAACGACCTGATCATCCGCCACCACACTACTCAATAAATACGGCAAATGACTCCCTAATGTCAACCAAAACCTCGCATCTCCCACCGGCAACGCATTTATCAAATCTTCCCCTCCCCCCCCAGCCTTTCCAATTCCTGGATTGAAGACGGTAGAGGCGAGAATAACGCAGACGGTTTATCGGGTACAAAGGCTTGGTAGTAGTTTTGTAGGTAATTTACGGTGGTGTGTTGGGATGAGGCGATGTGGATGTACATGGTTAACTAATGACACGACGGTGGTGAGGGTGGGGAAAGTGGAGATGCGGAGGTAAGCGTCGTTGGTGACGCGTTGGTGACGGATGAAGTCGATGGGGTATGTGGGGTACAGCATTCCGAATACGGAGTACAAAGCGTCGCAGCGTTTGCCACATGCAGTGAACCAAAAAAAAAGGAACGAATCACTTACTGAAAAAGACTAATAACACTCGCACAGGCAAACCTCTTCCCATCATCACTCGTCAAAGGTTCTCCCTGCTCCATCACTGCAAATTCACGAAAATAATTACAATCCTGCATATACAATCTGTTATTCCTTTTTCTCTCCTTTATCACCTTTAGCGATTCATTTTTCCTTTGTATACTAGCTATTACCTTAAACTATTGAATTCATTCCTTACTTGCCTTCTTAATTGTCATCGGATCAACCCTTGGAAACTGTTGTTGTGTATACATTTTATCTGTATACCAATTCTTGCTTATACCAATATTAGCCTCTTTCTTAATATCTTTCCTTTCGTTGAAGAGTTTGTGATTTATACTCTCGATTGGACCAAAGAAGCGCTGATTCGGTTCATTGTAGATGAAATCTAGGATATGGGCAGGGATAACTTGGCTGATGATGGGAGCAGTAGCGAAAAGACGATTGGTTTGGAATATTTGGAGAGAGTGGAAGAAATCGGTTTTGGGTTCTAAACTCAGATGAGGGGGGTAACTGTCGGAACCAGTGATTTGGAATTGAAAATGTTCTCTCTTTTCGCCGAGAGATATGGGAGCGGTAGGGAGATGGGTCTCAAATTAATGAACGTCGAAGGAGGCGAATCTTTACATACGTGTTATTGATAAGAGCATGAACTTCCCTCTTTCAGCGCACACTCGTTCAAACGATCCGCTGCATCCTGGGCAGAACAACCCATCTCCTCCAATTTCTCCAATGTTCTTAAAATCTTAGAAATCTTGGGCCTACCACGATTAGAAGTAGTGTCTGACTGAGGTGCGGTTTTGGCATTTTTGTGCACTGGTTGACTGATGTTTCCCGGGCCACGTTTACCATTATTTTGGCCTTATTGGGTGTAGATGAAGAAGACTCTCCTGTTCTTGCCATATTGGATGTATTGAAAAATTGTAATACGAGGGTAACAGTAACAGTTTCAGTGTATCTAATAGTCTAAGAGGATCCTAAGTAGTGCGCCTAAAAAAGAAAATTTATTCAGTCCATCTAGTTCGGACTACTTGAGTAGATAGGTATGCTAAAAATATCACAGTTTTATTACCAAAATTATGATTTTGCCTGTAAAAAGCCAGTTTTTAATCAATAAACCGTGACAATAAAAGCTTAATTAGTCTGAATATTCATTATATCACGTTGACGTTAACACCGCAGCCTAAGATTCCCTTTACTAGAATCTACAACTTCATCAATACCACCAATACTACCAGTACCTGGTAATACTGGTGTATTACCAGCATACCATCCCACTTATGAAATCAACATTTATACAAAGATACGAATAAAGAAGAAAACGGCAAACTCAAGGACATTGCCAGATCATACGTAAGTGGAACAAAAATAACCCAAAACATCAAAACATCTCTCAAACTAATATCACAGTACTACAGTAGTCGTGAAGTACCGAATACGAGACATTGTGGATGAGTCAAATATGTCTCGCGGCTGCATATAGATACATTATTGAATCAAGGAGCTATGGTCAAATGAACTCCGCTTGCATATATTAGACATTGGTTTGGTATCAATAGTTTTGGGAATCAAGCGGGATGAGTGCTGGGAACTGCACACTGGTGGGTGGAAGATCCAACTCCCCCGCCCCATCACCGGCGGAGGGTGAAAATCAGATGAATCTGAGGCATAGATGGATAATAAATCCATTTTGTAAAACAAAATACAATCTACACCTCACTCCCAATACTTCCAATTATTCATGAGATGACTCACTCATCAAGAACCACTTGGATTTCCTGGAATCCCTCCTCGAGATCTGTTTGTACGCGCTTGTACTAGCAATCATCAACCACAAAATCACCATCTACCACTATCACAATTGGAGGGTATGATACTGGTTCCTAATATGATATTGATTTCTTGTATAATTGTTTGTTTTCCAAAGTTCAAAGATCTCTACCCTATTATTCACTCTTATTATCTTCCTTCTATTATTCCTTCTCTCCCAGTAATCTTAGCACTCCCTGAAGATTTACAGGTCTAGTTATGTAAGAAGAAAGAAGTTGAGGATGGAAAGGGTAGAGGAGATGGGGATGATAGAGAATCAAGAAAATTGTTTTAGAAGAGAATGAAGAATTTGAGAAGAATATTGAGATAGTATTTCGTTCCCCTGAAAGTTTATCCTTAATGACAATCCTCAGTACCAATAACTGAAATACCTCTATCGTGTAAAGCCTTCAAAGTCTTTATCTGCCAAATGAAAGCGTTCAGAACCTTCCTTGATAGACGCCCAAATATTCTCGAATGCTTTGTCCAATTCGATATCAGAATCATTAATCGCCTTGCGGAAATCTTGGAAGATATTGGTTCTCAGTGAGTATGGTGTTAAGTAAAGAGCGATATATGGCAAATTTGCGGTATAAGCAGCGGTACACATAGATTTCAATCTTGCAAACAGCTTCTTTTCCATTCTGTCTTGCATCTTGATCAGTATTGGGTGATTTGAAGGATATGACTTGTAGAGATCGACGTCCTGTTTGTTCACTAGTTTCAAATGTTAGCTTGTTTCGTAAAAGAAATAATAAATGAACATACTCTTAAGAGAACGAATATTCTTCTTGAAGTATCTTAACTCTTTAGAAAACTTTGTACATAATCCAATTCGCTTCCTCTCGATGGTATTATACTTAGGCCATTCCCTTTTTTGTTTGCGCAAAAATCCAAGGGTTATTCCGATATTGGATGAATTGAGACGGAGATGAATACTTCTTACGAAGTGTAGCATTGCTAAATAATGTAAGTCTCAAACTCTTAGTAAACCCGAATCGGAACTTACAGCTGAGCGTGAGAAGCCAGCGGCTTTCAGTTGCAGCAAGTGACAGTCTTGGTAGATCAAAAGGATCAAAAGGTCTTTTGATGGATGCCTCATATTTCAAAAGATGCAACAAACGATCTAGTTGTCTTGCAGATGAGGATGATGGGATGATATCAATCTCCGAGGAACGTTGAGAATTGTTCTCAACTTCGTTTGCCATCTTGTGCGATGTAAGATCTTATGAGTACTGAAGGTGAAATAATAAGAATATAATCACGGGGTTCATAATCACCCCACTCGATGATGTTTAGTAATTCTTTCAACTTATCTTTGAATCTCACAACTACTTCAATGCCATCCACAACATATCGCACATAATAGAACAAATCATATTTTTGTCTGCAGATTAATTATATCCCGTCACACGTTCACGAATATCCTCCAAATGTAAGAAAATGCCCTCATGCTTGCTAATTTACAAACCTTTTAGAATCTTACCAAAATTGGATATATGAGTAGCCCTCGCTCCAAAGGGTGGTGTTCTTATTTCCCCTCACAATAGAGAAATGCTCGAAAGACTGTAGCCCCTCTACCCAGTCTAGCTTTTCGGCAAATGGCCTCGAGTGGGAGATCACATTCGAGACTTTGAAAACTCTCAAGTCGAATTTTGCGAGGAAAGCGGAACATATGAAACAATGGGTACAATATGCGAAGGAACACCGGGATTCTTGGGTTGCAGCGGGTGGTGACGCCCATAGCATTAATTATAACATTTGATGCAGGAGCAACTCGTTTGGGCAAAAACATATGAGATCTGAGACGCGATGCTGACACTCGACAATTGGAATACTGGTTGAACGACGAGCGTGAATTGTTGTTGGTATCGGAGCTGATGCCTTTCATGGATTGTGAGTTGGGAACACCCTGGAGAATAAGCAACGATGGGGTTCGATATTCGAGAAGCATTTGAGCATGGAATTAATACATTTTGGGAGGCATGTAAGTTGATTTACTTTATAAAACTCACAGGATGTTAGACTGGGGGTATGCGAAGCAAATGGAAAACACTTGATACAACATTTATTCACAACTATACTGCCGGGATAATCTTGAGGAAGAAGGACTCTCCAAAAAGCATGCCATTTCGATTGTTTCGCGATCCAACTCTTCTGCCCAGTCATCCAAAACTAGCATCTTCTGAGGCTGGATTAATATATATTGTCAAGGATAACAGCGCAGAACCACCCTCCTGGCCGACCCAACCTACCTTTCGAGGTGAAGAGTCCCTTCAGGTCATTCGATATTACGAGACTGGTGGAACTTGGGATAATCGCGTCCAGGAAGTAGGCCCAATCGAAACAAATATCAAATATAAGCGGGTTCGAGGTAGCAAAGCTGCAGTAGGGGAGGAGCGGGAGGGACTATACAAGCCAGCGGAGACATTACGCATGCGGGAGAAACAATCAAAACCCTCTCCCTCTCACTCTCAATTTGAAAATGGATACCAGGACCCTGCTTTTTGCGATGCCAGTACAGTGTTTGGGGATGAGAGTGGTTCGTCTCATTCCAAGCAGTGCGAGCTTCGCAGAGTTCCCGTTTCTCGAGTACCTCTTGGCCAAGGTTCCTTGCTCAAATAATATGCCGGAAATCCAACCCCCTGTTGTACGATCTAGGCCGCCACGAATTGATTAGAATTTTCGGATTAATCAAGGAACAAGGGAGGCATGATTGCCAAATACTTAACCTCCTAAGTCCAATGGCTTGCGTCAACTTAGCAAGTCTGCTACATTTGATCAAAAGCTTCTGGTGGGTTGGGTACGCAAGTTGCACAGAGCCGATTATACCATTTATATAAGCTGAAGAAGAAGAACCCAAGGAAGCCTCCGGAATCATGGAAGAAGGCAAAGAAGGTGGCATCGTGCTTGAAGATGGGGGGTACAAATTCAAAGTCACGTTAACCTCCAGATTGGGAAGTGAAGGCGTGGAAGCAGTTCCGAGGGGATCATTTTGGGAGTAGCAAACGTCGTGGAAGAGGTAAGTTGGGTGTGAAGAAATGAGTAGTAAAAGGCTTGGGGATATTTTTCACCCCACCCACCCACCAGTTTTATGTGTACGTGATCGTAAGTCCCACACTTAAACGTCTAGATTCCATTTAAATTAGAACAAGATGCTTAAACCCTCGTTCCTCGGGTCTCGATCCTTGATTTGAATTAGGCCAATTAAAATGCGTATAGGATTGATTGATCTTATAGAATTGATAATGGCTCATAGATATCATTGACTACGACTGTTCACGTTCTACCTCGTAGCACGTGTTGCGCAAATACCTCCAATCCGTCCTAGGCCTATCCCTACGCAAGTATCCTCTACCCTGCCTTACCTCCTTATCCATAACGGACGGGTGTTCACCCCAGTACCATATGTACGAATAAAGGTGCCATGATTTTATGGGCGGGTTTTCCATTGGGAAAAGGCCAAGTTAGCATTCAAGCTCCAATACACTATTATATTGCCAATTGAAACTGTCAAGTTATTACATTATAAACTTACGAGTACTCCATGCAGCTTCCTTCCAAGCAAACGCAGAAGACGCGATGCTACCTTGAGGCGCACTGAGAACAATATGACCTTATGATGACGTCGTCGCTCCTGTTCCTGTCCCTGCCCTGGCTCAAGTGCTGGAGCGTGATGTCAACAACGATATCGATGATGTCGTTAGCGTCGCTCCTGCCACACCTGCTCCGGTTCTTAAACAAGAACCTGTCAATAACTTTACTGTTGCCGCTTCCGCCGGTCTTGTTGTTGCTCCTCTTACCCTTCCCCCGCCATGTCGTATATCAGATGCTTTATTGATCTGTTAGTATCAGCAGGCTACGCTATGACTCTTAAGAAAAGCAAGTAGACTCACGAATTGATTCCAAAGAAATAACTTCTGGAGATTGCGAATATGTAATCTAGCTTTCCACCTTCTTCTCATTGTTTTCTTTCTCCTTGTCTTTCATTACATCTGTTCCGGGCCATACCGCAACAAACTCATTCCGCAATGAGCTTAGTTCATTGCCCAATAAACTATGGTCCGGTATAAGCTAGTTTATAGGAAAATGAGGCTATTCGCAAATGAGCTAAGGGTATTTCGGAATGAGCTAGTAAGGATATTCCGAAATCAATTTAGTATTTAGAAAAAAATTCTTATCAGTCTGCCTAAGTGAATATCATGAGTTAAAACGGGACCGACAATTGTGAAAAATCCGGAATATATTTTGCAAGGTATGTTAGCGACAATGAAGTACTCTAGGAGTTTCGACCGCTTTATATCTTGCAGCAACAGAAAGCAACTAGAAACGGCTGACAGATCTTGCACCAAAACTTGTGTGCAATTCTCTCTATCTTCTCTCTCATCATCAGAATAGCTCACATCATGAACCTATTCTGGGTCGCTAAGACTGCATTCCAACATCGCGGATTCTATTACCAGACCTAATACATTGAGTCCCTCCATCTTCTCAACGTCCCCCGGAGAAAAACAATCAATAAACGGCATCACGCATGATTTGTAACCCTTGTGTGCCTGACCCGTCTGAACGGCATACAATTAGTAGCTGGAGGTTTATGCATGCGCTAAGGTCTGACCGAGACTTACAGGATATACGAGTACATGGAAGTGACAGGGACATATTACGGGTAAAATCGATCACCTCCGAACGTCGACCTAATAATTGAACACTTCTCGAAATCCATTTGGACATGCCGGGAAAGTATCCAGGAAGTACGATGCAGTTTATCATCACTTCTTGACGAAGCTTGGTGCAGCCCCTATCTAGAATGGCAGGAATTCAGTAATCACTTTTCAAGGGATGTTTTGGGATTGGTTGAACGGGGTAGGAATTGAATCAAAGAGTGATGAGGTGCAATAAAAGAAAAATCCCCGATCTGCTAGGGAGATGGAAATATAGGGGTGAGGGCTGTGAAATGAGAATGATTGGGTGTGCTTACCAAGATGCATGACTTTTGTTGCAATACAGAACTCGCGCAATGTAGAAACTGTTTTCGTCTCTTTCCAGATTTGGGTAGCAAGATCTGGCCCAAAAATAGTACCGTATTCAAGGTAGTTGTTCTGAATGACATCAATAACACGATTCATCAGATCGTAGACTTCCAATCTTTCACCCAATGCATATATCTTTGTTCGAGGCTTTTGAGCGGTATCTGCACATGACGGGTTTAATTAGTAATTTGTCCACTGATCTGTATTCAAACATTCTGCCTGTACCTGGATGAGTGGAGTATACCATTGTAAGCCCAATCAACAAACAATTTGAACACCTTTGGACCCTCGTCAAGAAATATCAATCCTTGCTGTCCAGACATCGTATCGAAAAGCTTCTGCGACTCAAATTATTTGGTACATCTTTGAAGTATGGCTATGTGAACAGTGAAGACTTGACGCTAAAGATTGGTTAGAAATCTCTTACTCTTGGCACGGAACACGTAGTTCATCTGCAGCGGCACCAACACCAACAACTTGGGATGCAAATGAGAGATCTAAGGATGCTTCTGGTTGACAGACTGTGGCAATATAGGCATCTCGGGCTCGTTGTGCGATATATTGGTCTTTTGGGGAAGCTCCCTTGCGGACTTTTCCTCTCGTGCCAGGCATATCTTCGCATTGGGTGGTGACGTGTTGAAGGAATTTGGCTTGTTTCTCCTTATTCAAGTTGATATGATCATCTACCAAGGTGATCATATACCTCTATTGAGTTTGAGAGGTGTGGTGAGTGTTAGTTCCTTCCGTGGCTTAGCTGCGAAAGTTGCTTCGCTGAGTTTGTCATGTTCCATTGCGGCGAATGTGCTGTTTCCGGCAAACAACGTGTCATCGGTTTGTAGTCCTACAATGCTGAATCCTGTGCTGGGCTTGTTTGTATATAGAATACAGGGGTCATGTTGAGTCTCTTGGTGTGATGACCATGGTAGGTGTGAAACCAGTGGTTGCCGACTTCGGGGATGCCGTAAGGTGGTCGGTCTGCACACACAAAGAACAGTGCCAGGCGTAAGATCCATCTCAGATGATGGTACAATGTAAAATCGTCGAATTAGCTGGCTCTGAGATTGGATATAAGCTTGCGTGATATCTCGTAAACAGAGTCCCAGAGTCTTCTGATTCCGAAATGTCGCTGTAAGCGCGAGGAGGGTGCGTTGACTGGAACTTTGGATCGTAGGTGATTGGATCAACGCAGACAGTTTTCCATTGTCGTCGTATGCCTGCTTCTTTGATTTCATCGACATGATTTGAAGATTCTAGTACCTTCAGGAACATCCTTGCGAGAGACTAGTACTTGTCCATCAAACCATTGATTTCCTTACGTCTTGACTCTACGAATAATGGTGAAGGGATATCCGTAGCAATACTTCATCATAATCGTGTCCTTGAAGGAAAGCTGAAATTTGTGGGGTATCCTTGGTGGATGGTTGCACGATAGGTTACATGTTTCAAACATATTCTGACGAATGGCGGAGCGTAGAAGTCGTCTCGATTCTTCCTCTGGTGGGGGTACCGCCTCGGCGCTGAAAACCCCCAAAGACACCAAGGTTATCAGCCTTGGGTACGGTAATAACGTCTGCAGATGCTACAATGTATGAGCACCGGCACCGTACTAGCGAAGGGCTAGGGTAAGCACTAGCGCTAGGGCCTCAATACGCATATAGTCTCCACTATGTAGAATAGCTTTCAATAAAACAACTGCAAGATTATCAACACTGAACACTCGTCGGGCTACCTACCATCGTAGACCTGAAAGGTGTCCCCGTTGATACCAACAGTATGATCCGCAGCCAAGCTCTGAGGAACCCTAGGTTTACGAGTGGGTTCAACGACGAGACGGCAATGGGCCTGTGAACATGTTTGACATGTAGTCTGCACCGGGGGAAAAGCCCTAGGAACTACGTGTTCTTAAAGTAGCCAAATGCCTCGTCATCTAATTAGTGACGCACAAGAATGGATGAACGAGAATCCCATTCTCGTTGTCTACTAATCTAGCGAAACCACAGCCAAGGGAACGGGCTTGGAAGACTCAGCGGGGAAAGAAGACCCTAGAAGCTTATGGGGTCCAAAGTTTCAGTACTAGTCGAGTTATATACGATGACTTGTGGAGTGGTTCCAGCGTTGAATGGAATTGGAGATGCAACGTCTGGTTCTGGTTCTGGTTCAACATGGGGCTCATGATAGTAAGGTTTGACTGAGTTGCTCCGGAATTGGGATGGTCCATTGTCTAACTCCACAGCACAATCCTCTCCATCGATAACAATGAGTCGCCGTGGTTCTATCCGCTTACCTTTTACTGTCGGATTAGCCTTGCGGTAGACGAGGACATCGGAATTGAGGGGTAAATCGTGGATAGGAGTTGTTACCGGGCCATTACGTTGGCTTAGTGCATCAGAGACTTGACGCTAGGTTCGGAGAATTGCTACTTCTTTCATAGCGTTTCGAACAGCTGCGGCGCGTTGTACCATATTGGGTACTGGGGCGTCGTGTTCTGTCATTCTTGGGTATGCACTATATACGAGTAAGGTGGGCACGACTCCATCCGGTCGAACTGTGTTGTTGACAGCTTTTACCGCCAATTGTAGCATCATCTCCTTGGAGAGTCCTTCGTTGGTGAGGTCCTCTGATATGATTGCATAAGCTCTGCGGATGGGTTTGTGACAGCGTTCGACAAGGCCGATTGACCAATGTGCTTCAGTCGGAACTGACTTCGTGCCGATAGCCATGGAAGCTACGAATTGCTTGAATTCTTTGTTAATGAACTGAGTACCCGCATCGTGAATGACGTAATCTGGTGGTCCTACGTACATATCAATCCAGCTATATTTTAAGGTGTCCCAAACTGCTTTGTTGTGATGTTTTTGAGCCACTTGGCAGCTTGGTAGCTTGTGGCTTTGTCGACAATATGGAGGATGGGCTTGTTTCAATATAGAATATATCGATATAGGTGCAGTAGTTGTGTTCGACATCGTTGTGAATAGTAAACTTGAAACTTCCAGGGGATTGTCCATGCATTTGACAGTCCTCGCAGTATTTAGTAAAGTTTCTTGATCATAGCTGGGTCAAAATCAGTATGCCCTGCGCGTTCAGTTGAATGTTGAAGTCTATAGGCTGCAGGGTGACCAAAACGTCTGTGGAGGGGTCTGAAGTTAGCTTCTGTCAAGTAGCATACTTGGGTAGTTTCTGTAGGAAAGGAATGAGGGTATTCCATGCAGATATGGCCTTCCTGGCTTTCTTGGACTACCACATTCTTGGTTTTCATGTAGTATATCTTGAGTCAATCCATGTCGGCAAGACTGAGTAGAAATGGCGTATCGGTGAGTAGGACATGAAATTCGACTGTGTCAACTGGTAGTTGAACATGAATGGAGCCGATGGAGACGGCTATTGATACCGAATGTGATTTCGGCGCTTCCTGCGATTGAAAATTGGAGTTCTATATCAACGACTTTCTTGAGTGCTTGATATTGGCCAACTCCTATCGTGGATTTTCTTTCACCTCCTGTCAATCAGAATGCCTTGAAATCCGGATCCGTCATATCGATGATAGGTAGTAAACGTCTACATTTTGTGCAGTCATGGCATGTATGAGTGCCTTGTCGGCAAGATCTGCGACAACCTCCTTGCCATTGATTGTTGAGCCAAGGGCAGGTGGAAGTTTTCATTAATCTCTGCGGTCATGAACAGGGTTTCGGCTTTCTCGTCAGGTTTGCAGGTCAAGCACTAGCCCTATGGATCTCACAGCATGAGTGTAGCCGTCTGCCCAATCTTGGGGTTGAAGGAGATATCAATCTTTCCGGAATGCTTCTTATTTTCATAAGCGATAGTATGCTGATTCCGGTGAGCCTCTCCCTCGTTTCACCCTCTGCTCGAAGTGTCGATTGCTTTTGTAGGATCAGAATATTGCCGCCAAAAAACGACTTCAATGGACCTTTCCCATTCGTTCACTTATTTCGCTCACAAGCATGCGCAATCCCTTCCGCCTCGCCGCCGATGTGCTACTCAAGAACAGAGCTGCAACAGGCCAAGCGTGTATACCACCCATCTGCTCCTGTCCTCGAATCTCCACTTTTCCAGACTTTTTGAGAAGCGCAATGAGATCACGAGTCTCAGGCGCAAAAACTTCCTCGGATCCATACGTGATGAAGAATCCTCTGGTCGGACTAGCCATTCTCCACCAGTCCAAATCTTTACATACCCCAGGTGAGACCAAGGGATCCGAGACAGAAGCTCGTGGACCAGCGTATTGATGCGCGTAAAGATGTAGGTTACTGGTATCTAGATAGTCGCTCGAGGTATTCTTATCTTGTGGTGAATCGAGGGTAGTCCAGGGAGAGATCAAAACTGCCATGGCAGGGGATTCGGTGTGTACTGTCTCTATGGTTGAATTCGAATTGTCGATAAGGTCATTTGGTCTAGCGATGTGGAGAAGCAAGCTGAGGATTAATGTCGCTCCAGCTGAATCACCGCTAACACAAATTTTGGAGGGGTCATCGGTCACGGATAAGACGTATTTGTATCCGGCGAACGTTTCGTGGAGCTGGGTTGGATAAGATTGATCAGGTACTAAGCTGTATTCTAATGCGAAGATGGCAGGATTCCGGAATTTCCTCGAGTCTTTGAGTAAGCTCAGCCAAGCAAGAAGAAATTCTAGGTAGAAATAACTTGATCCCATTGCGAATCCACCACCTAACACTTTCTTTAGCATTTTCGAGATTCAAGCACCGAAGTTATATGTGCCTACCATGGGCATAATAAATCACAATATCTGCTTTCTTGGTTCTGTCCGCAATGATCCAAATCCCTTTCATTTTGTCCTAGAAACTTTAGTATACTTTAATGTCATTTGGTGATCAAGAACACGGAACAGTACCTGATTGACCTCATGCCAATGAATAGGAGATTTCATGAATCCATGACGAAGCATACGAAACCTCAAGAATGGCAACGCAACTGCTTTTGAAAAGAAAATTCGGCCGATATTCGCTGGAATATAGGCAAAGGCATACCGGACACAACGAATGACAATATCCTCAAATAATGAAGCCTGTTGAACGAAAGGCGATTGCTTTTCCCGGTGGGTAAAAACGCGTTCCTTTATGAAGGAAAGAGGTAGTTTGATTACTGCGTGTTTGTTAACATGATAATCAGGATGTAAATTTATAAATGCCGTACTTAAAAATGGTAATGCCTGTAGAGCACAATTGGCAATCTGGAAAAGGCCAACATGGATGATCAACTGAGGTGCAAGAAAGAAGAGAAAGACGGCAATATCTAGCCACGAAATCTGACCCAAAAACATGTTTATAAGTAAACTGTTTGATGTGAAATTAATACTCAATATATTAGTCAGCATCTTTAGTCAGTAGCATTAGTCAGTCAGCAGCATTAGCCACAACCACAAGATTATTTTCTTTTCTCGAAGCCCTATATGAATAGAGTACCTAGGTAATGATGAAATTCCTGGTTGTATGATTTTATTGATAAATGAGCAAAGATTAGAAACCTCATAATAAACAATCAATCAATCAATCAAAAACAACATCCACCAGTATCTACTTTCTACTTGAATAGATACAATTTTTCAATATTGATACCAGCCACGTGAATAGCCACTAACCCGGAGCTTAAAAGTTTAATTGCCGACCACCTCGCAATCAATTTACGGCAGCAAGGTTGAAAACTTGACTGACATCTGCCCCGTCGCGAATGCAAACGCGACCCCTTTCAAACTCAACATCTCTATTAATATTATGAGCCTCATTGCATGACTTTATCATTCATGCAAATAGAGCGACTTCCATTCCTTTACTCTTTCTTTCCTACCTCAATATCAGGCTCACTCCTACAAACCGGCGTTGATCAGTATCTTTTAAGAACCTCTCTGTTTTTCGGGTTAGAAATATCAATATGTCTGCGCCTACTGCGGCTCAAGCTGAACTCATCAGGTATGTTTCCCCCAAGAATTACATCAGTTTCGACAATGGCTCACATAACTTCAGCTCTTTATCTCAAGATGAAATCCCAATCAAGCTTCGATGCGCCATATGCAGCAGATTAGCTGTCAACGCTTTCCGTTTACCTTGTTGTGACCAGGCCATCTGCGAAACCTGTAAGCTCCACCCCATCTGCGCAATGCGAATTACATCATTTATTAACGTTTACAAGGCCATTCTACTCTTTCTTCTTCCTGCCCAGTATGCGAACATACACCGGTGGCCTCAGAGGATTGCAAACCCCATAAATCATTACGAACCACGATAAAGGTCTTTTTGAGAACGGAAGAGAAAAAGCGCATGGATGCTCTAGCTAAACAAAGCAAAGAAACGCCGCCAGCTACGCCAGTGGATGTTCTATCGACTCCGATACAGTCGAACGTTCTGGCCGGCCTTGTTGATGATACTCCAAAGGCGCTGGAAGATGCTCCATCTGCCAGCGACGTAAAGACATATGTTGAGTCTGCTAAGCCTGCGGAAGAAAATGGCGCCTCGGCAGAAACTGGCGCATCTGAACTGGCACAGGCAGAGGAGCATGATGTTCCCCAACCCTCAATTGAGGTATGGCTATACTTTTAATCCCGAATTTATCAATAAAACTAATTCCAATTTAGGAGATCGCACCTGGTCAAGAGCCTAGTGAGGATGCGAAACAGGTGGACGCGGCGGCAGACGGCGAAAAAGGCGGGGAGCAAAGTACTGCAGAAAAGGAGGGTGAAACTGGTGTAGTTCAAGCCCAAGCTATTGGAAGTGGCTTTGGATTTGACCAATCTTCCTCTGGGGGCTTTCCTGGGATGGGCTTTTCTGGCGACTTCAATCAAATGCAGATGATGATGGCGATGCAGAACGGCATGGCTCCTGGAGGGTTCGGAAATTTCCCTATGATGGGTATGTTTGATAATATTTACATTATGACGAAGTGAAGACTAATCAGCATAACAGGAATGCCAGGGATGAATATGGATCCAATGACGATGCAAAATATGATGATGAGTGGTGGCTTTGGAGGGGCAGGCATGGGCATGAACGGCATGAACATGGGCATGGGCATGGGGAACTTCGATGGTGGTGTAGGTGCAGGTTTCAATAATGGGTGGAACTCCCAACAATCATGGAATGTCGGACCAGATAATTTCAATCATCCAACTGCTGCTGGTATGGGCCCCGGTGATTATGGAGCAAATAATTCTGGTTTTTCACAAGATGCTGCAGGGTTTAACCAAGGTAATTATGGACGCGCAAATCAGTACAATGACCATCAAAACAGTTATTCACAAGGTTACCAAGGTCGTGGACGAGGTAGAGGCAGAGGTGGCTGGCACCAGAACCGAGGTGGCCATGGGCATGGCTTTAATGACCACTCACAACATTTACAACAGCCATTTGGCCAAGCTCGGCAATCGACTGAACCACATAATGAGAATGTCCCAATGTCTGCAGGACCCAAAGAAGAGACTGATTCTGGAACTGCGGCGAACGTCGATGAGTTTGGCAGAGAATTACGTCAAGAAACTCCCAAGAACGAAGCAGAAAATAGTGTTGATAACGTTATCTCTCAAAACCCCGCATCTTTTGCGACCCAGGGCCGCGAAGAACATCACGTAAACTCAGACGACGTCGCTCAAGACGTTCCTTCAGGAATCACGAATGATGATTTTATCCCGCAACCCATAAAATCACTGGAGGCAAATGAATCTGCCGCTTTTGCACCGATGCCCATGATCGGAGATGGTTACAATGCTATGTCCCCTGTAGATCCAAATATGCGCTATTTTGGCCACCCACGAGGTGGATTCTCACAATCACGTGGTGGCCGTGGAGGGAGTTTCTCTGCCATGCAACCTCCCTTTGTGAAGCCAGTTGATGTACCTATCAATGCCCCCACTGGACCAAAGGCGATGCGTGAGGGGGGACCGAGATCAGCCCTTCCCAGTATTAGAACTCACGGTTTCTCCATTGCGGGTAAAGCTAGCGCTAGTGCGCGCGGTAGTGTTAGTGCAGCCCCGGAATCTGTCACTCAAGAAAGAGGACGAACCAGGTCTCCTTCGCAAGAAAAAGAAAAAGATAGATCACGATCAAGATCGAGATCAAAAGATCAAAAGAGAGACAGGAGTAGAGAACGACGTCATAGACGCAGACACAGATCAACCTCTCGATCCCGCTCTGAAGATGAGGAAGAAATTGAGCGACGACGAGAAAAACGTCGCGAGCGGAGACGTCGCCACGAAGAAGGAGCTGATCTCGAGCGTGATGCAAATGAAGATAAGCCCGAGAAAAAAGATGATGATGACAGGAAAAGAGATGACGAAAATAGATCAAGATCAGCTTCACCACAAGAGTCTAAAAGATCCAATCATCGAAGCAGTCGTCGTGATCGCGACAAATATCGTGACCGAGAAAGAGATGATGATAAGCATAGATCTTCGTCTCACAAGCATCGTTCTAGCCATCGCTCTCATCGCGATGAACGTTCTAGAAGTCGAGAACGCGAACGTAGCGAACGTGACCGTGAAAGGGAGCATCGCCATAGACAAAGTCGTCATGCCTCTCGTGATGCGGAAGACAGAACAAATGGTGACACTCCTCTTCAAACTCCCATTGAGCCGAGTCACTCCTCTAGAAAATCGTCCCTCATTTCCAATGGCCAGAATGGTATTGAGATTAAAGGTGCAAGTTCTCGTAATAGACCCAATACAGACATCAATTTGTCATTGAACATCCCAACTGGACCTAAGGGTAGCCAACGAGATCGCGAACGAGACCGTGAGAAGGATCGATCAGGTCGTCATGGGGAATCACATCGGTCTCGTCGAGATTCAGAGCGAACCAACACGACTTCACGCGACCAAGAGAAAAGCCGTGCTGAGAAGAAAAAGGAAGACGTCGATCCACATACCTTGGAACGAGAGGCGCGCAACCGAGAGAGATTACTGAAAGAAGCACAACGTATCGCAGGTTTAACAAGTGCGGTTGGTGTGAACAGAAAAAGAAGTCGTGATGACGTTGATGAGAGTAGTAGCAGAAAGGGAAGAAAAAAGGGAAGAAGGGGTGCAGGCACAGACGATACCGACGAGGCAAGAATCGCTAGGTTGGAAGCGGAGAGAGAATCCTCGAGATGGGCTTAGTTGCCTATCTTCGAAGCTCATACCTCTCGTCGTAAGTAAGCTTCGTCGCATCCATCATCATGCTACATTCGGAGGAGAAGAAGAAGAAAGGTTTGGGAGGCAATAAAAACACAGCGAGATGACATGTCTGGTCATTTGACATCGGATATAAAACAAAGGGGCGCATAATGAGTAGTCTACAGCAGATAGACGGACGATGGCGACTTGCAACTTCGGCCAAGAAACAAATGCCGATTTGACGCGCGTTGGCTCGCATGCGTATTTGGCAGTCGCAAGTATGGGGTTGGGTTGTATGGGTGGGATAGGTAAACTGAGTTGAATTCCACAATCAACCAAACTACTTTGAAGTCGATAAAATAATTGGTATGGAGTAGAGCAGAGCGGATTCAGCCAGCTAGCTAGGGAGGGGTTAGTAAAAATATAATGACATTAATGACTCTTCATTGTGCTGGGGATGTGATTTGTGATTTTCTGATATTTGTGGTATTTGTTTGACTGGGGCGCGTTTCTAGGTTTTGGGTTGAGAAGAATGGGATAATGGAATGGTGAGATGGTGGGATGGTGGATTGGTGGGATAGGGGGAAAAGAAGGCGATGATATCTAATTATTGAGTTGGCCGCTGGAAATTCCTTGGGAGTGGGATAGATGGATGTATCGAATTCATTTTTGGGAGGTGGAGGTGGAGATTTATGCTTGGTACTTGAGTACTTACTTATTTGCCAAAGTTCCTGGGCTTTTGGGGGCGGTTGTTGTATTGGGTTTTGAGGGTTGAGATTTATGAGAGATATATATGAGATGTATCTTTGATGATTATATTATTTCGGTATTTTTTACTTCAGGGCATAGGGGAGAGGCATGAAGGTATGAAGACATAGAGGTGTAAAGAGGTACAGAGGCATCAAGGCATATTGGTGTAAAGGCATTGTGGGGAGGGGTTTTTGTTTTCTGATTAAGTCGGGTTTTAGTAATGGTGATATAACTTGTCGGTATTGGTGATGAAGCTGGATTCTATATAGAGTGATGATGATTTTGATTATGGTTAGCTTGTACTCGTAGAGCTAGTTTGATACGTTATGAACTTATAATGTGGAAGGTGTAGCGCCTAATGCAATAGAGTTGGTATATGTAGCTAAGTTATATTGTCAACAAGACATGATAATGATCAAGAGCGTTCCGCGTCGTTGATATTATACAAGGTCTAAATAGAGATTTCTCTATTATTATAGATCAAATCCGGAATAAAGAAGATTGTTATTATTCGAGTGAATAGGGGCAATAGAAAATAGGGAAGGGGAAAGGAAAAAAGTGAAAGGGGGGAATGGAGGCAAGAGTCTCAATAGTTTCATATCTTATACTCGAGTAAAATTACTTACATAAACCAAAATCTTAATAAAGAAATAAAGATATAGATAATATTGTGCACTTAATCCTTTGGTTTGGTCCTGTATAACATACCATGTGCAAAGACACTGAATGCAAATAGTATATGGCTATATATCAAGTAGTTTGGAAGGTAGTACAGCTATAGAAAGAAATTTTATGTTTTTTTATATCAGCCGGATACTTTTTCTTCCTTTGTATATGTGTTGCAAGTATAGGAAGCCCTTACCTCCAGTTTAAAGAGTGGGGGTGGGGGGTAAGAGCTTATAGAATGTTCCTTTTACTCGAGTAGACACAACTCCATTCTATTATTTCTTCGATATCAACTACTCGAGTAATCTACAATTACCCCGCACTGCCATTTAATGGAGATTTTAGCGCTGTATTTCAGCTCGTCATCGCTGATAAGTGACCTCACTTTACGTTGCATTTGAAGGTGTCAATGTTTGATATAGACAAGCGGGATGATGAATCTGAAGAGGACGTATAGGAAGTAAACGTTATTATCTTTCAAATATGTGACGTACTCATATTCATGCATGCGACCATGTGGAATGAATAGGAATCGACTATCATGCAACGTTTTTGCGGATCTCAATATATAAAAGTCACTCGGTACAATAGTACTGCCGTTGCTTGTTGCATTGGATCAAGTGGCGTGATTATATTGTTGATGTTAATAGGGCTGATATTGCCACGCATTACAAGCGATGCGAGTCCCAAAACATAAACCCTACTTATCATCTTAGTGCCTAATATCTATTTCAGTTGAAGGACGTCAAGGTATAACATAATCAATAGTATCGGATCATTCTTAGTCTAATCGTCGCTCTTCACGACGGAGCGTAGCAGCTCTTATAGCAAACAGTCATTGTGATTTATGTGAATATAACAATAGCAATTATTGATAGATTTTGAATTGTAATTATCAAATGATCTTAGCTGTATACAGTATATTGATAACTCAAATGATTTCTGAATCCTTACTACTCACAATCTCGGTACTAATCGAATATATATTCTTGGGGAATAATTACTTATAATTATTCCCGAAGAGTATATATCCGATTAGATTGGCTCTTTATATGTATACTCATAGTAGTTTGCCCTCAGAGTCTCTACGAAGTACGAGACAAGGAACTTCAGAATGATATCGTATGACATTCTGCCGATCTGCGAAATCGGCACGTTACATCGCGGCAATATTGAGCATAAGAGGAATGCGGTAACAGCCTCTTTGAAGTCTCGACTTAACCGGAACCTAGTGATGATATGCTGGAGATTCATTGGTCCGGAGGATGTTCCGGGATGTGTATATCACCGAAGATATGACTCCCTTCGATTGACTACTTACTGATAGTAATAGTGAATGATTTATGGATTTCTACTCTCTAGGAAAATTCGCGACATAATATACCGAAACAGCCATGCAATTCCTGAGACTTTCTTTTATATCATGCAATTTAAACCAATGGTACACGCAAAAACGGTTTCCCACATTGGCGCATTCCAGACTGGTATGCGGGGCTGTTAAGCGAGACGCTGAAAAGGGGAGGGGCTTGAGCGTTCTGAAGCTTATGCATTACGGAAGTTGAGGTCACTTTACTCTTCTTTGTTGGTAACGCTGCCTTTCTCAATAGAAATCGTTGATATAAGATTTATTTATTCAGTTCTGCAGGTTTGACAGTCTGACGGCTGGGAGTCTGGGAATACTAGTTCAGATTCCGAGCCAAAGGGGTGGGTTAACTTAGATATTGATAGCTGATAGTTTTATATATTCGGGAGATACCAAGAAAGAATTGCTGGGATTGTCCCGGATTCGGATCGTGAAGTTGACCGAAAGCCTAGAATGAATCGACTGTGAAACATTTATGAAAATTAAACAAGGGTCGTATGAATATTCTAGGGATTAAGAGCAGGAGTAATAGCGGTGAAGTGAATATTCCATGTGTTCACTGCTATCGATCGTATGTTTGCTAGGGTATCTACCCCCATGTGCATTATCCGTTGGTCGAGCTCAATTACCCCTGCATACCAAATAACAGTCGGTGAAGAAAAGTCGTGATTACGACTGTTGGGTTCATGTGAAGATAGATAGTCTCCAAGTTTTGCACAATTCAGTGCAGATATATATGATGTATTGAGATGTTTTCGAATGGCACGCCGACTCGAACTTTTCAAAAATCTTATCACCTTGCATAACATGGCGCTGCGATGTGTGCATGATTTGTAGATTGGGACAGGGAAATTGTCTGTCTCACGGCTGCAAATTAGCGCCCACGTAGTCCCAGTTGTTCATGCATCCAAGGTCGCCGTTCAGGTCTTCCCATGAACCAGGATCGATCAATACCATTGTATAATGTTCCACGACGTTGATATGCATGGTATAAAGCCGGTGCTATCGCATGGCAACAACTTGATGTAGCACTTGCGGGGTAATAAGGCTGGACAAACAATAGTGATGCAGCAGAATGCGACACTTGGTTCAGATGAAGAGGAGTTACTGCGTATGTTCGGAGGAATGGGAGAAATTCTTTTGATACGATGTGGAGATACTATCATTGATAAGATTTGAGAGATATAGTGACAGGAAACGCTGCCAGCAGCCGGACTTGAGCAGTCTCTAATAGCGAGCTTGAACTCCAGAATTAACAAACGCCCCATTGTACACCCACACCCAAGCCTCCATTTTGTTGCTTCCTAACGCATTTGTAAAACAAGTAAATATTAAAATATCACCATTTGTAAAAATAGCTGTTTGCCTGCTGTTCGTATCGGCTTAAATCATATTCGCCATCATAAGCTTCGTACTCATTTTCGACATCTGCACCGTTTATGTCCTGAAGAATCGACCCTAAATCACCCATGGTTGAAGGATGAACTTGACCCCAAGCACTTCCAATCGCTGTAGTTGTTGTTGGTGTTGATTCGAATTCGGAGCGCGGTGGACTGACAACCTGAAAGGTACGGAGATCAAGAGGCCTCAGAGACATGGTACTTGAACTAATGGTATTGCCGTTAAAGTGCGAGATGCCAGCTGAGGGTTGTGGAACGATCGTAGGCGCTAGGGATCTCTTGTGTAGATCGATAGAATTAAATCTTGGGTCGGAATCGATACTCGGCAGTGGAGACATTTGGGTGACAACTTCAGAAGCTTGCCACGATTAATTAGAATTGACGTCGAAGGTTCAGATTGATGTGGAAGTGACCTACCTTGAGAAGCATACTTTATCTCGGGGCTTTGACAGTAATTTACGACAGAAGATTGACTTTCTTGGGCGTTACTGAAGTTGTCCGGGATAAACAAGTGATCTTTGTAAGCCTCGTAAGTTAGGATTCCAATATTGTAGTTCCCAGCTTCGTAACTACATACCATCATGTCCAGGATGTTTGTCTTTCATATGCTTTTGGAAATCGTTTCGTCGTTTTCCACCACGGTAATTGCAATCTGGCTCATGGCAGCAGTATTTTTTATCCCCGTGGACGGTCGTTTCATGACGGCGAGCACCAGTGCGACGCGTAAAGGTCTTACTGCAACCAAAGTATCCGCAGTGAAATGAAGCGCCAGATTGGTTCTGTGAACGACTCTGCGCCATAGTCTATTGCATGAGTTCCAAGGCTATGGCTGAAAAAGTTCGAGAGGGACATGCTCGGAGATATGTAGGTTACGGTGGCCCGCTCATGAAGGAGGTGATTGGATTTCGGCTGGCTGCAGATGCCTCTCACCGGATATAGCCATTTATCAATCCAGGTCTGGTGTTTTATCTCGTTGAGTGTCTATAGTTGGAGGTCGTGCAAGGCTCAAACCGATAGAGATATGAACCGACTCAAAAATTAATAAAACCGAGACCTGCCACGTCACAGAACTAATACACTATACTCGTGTTACCAAGATCGAATAGATCAAGCATTGTCGAATCCTTCGACCTGCTGCAGCAACTCAAATAACAATATATCTTGGTGATGTGGTTGGTGAAGAGAACACAAAAGTTTGCAGTAAAAGTCCTTGGGAATAGAACAAGGAAGACCAATAGCTCTGACGATAGTATTGCAAGTTTTCTTCGGTGCAAATGGATTGATTTCCGCGTTCTAACAGTTGAGTGCTATAGAGAGCCTCCAATCCTGGGCGTAAGCCCCGGTTACATGTTTTGGAATTCTGCACAGTAAGACCCTTGCTACAACTCTGAACCGCTTGCTAATATCCGTTCGTATCTATCATAGTTGAGGTATGTGTAGAAATGCTAATCTAGCCCAGACAGGCAGCATTGCTTGCAAATAAATGCTTGAGCGAGGCGAACAAGGCAAACTTTTTTGCATCAATGATGCTCACCGCTTCCAGACGTACACCCATTCAAAGCTCGGCGCATTGACCCAAGTCATAGTCTGGTGCTTTGAACTGTTAATCTCAAGGCTGAGTATAATACAATGAAGGAACTCGATGGACTTCCATTGCTGCAAGTGCAATGCCAGAAACCAGCCTAGTCCCGCGGCTCGACTACATGCAGTGAGTTCTAAAAAGCAGTAAGTTTGTTTGTTTGCTGTAGAGATAGGTTTGCCTCATTCACCGATGCAATACGAGCTCTTGTCCTAGAGTTAATGGCTGTCTTGCTTTGTTCTTGAATAATGGTTCTGATATCTATAAAGAAAGACTACCGAAAGTGACACTCGATCTTTCTTATGTGCGGCGCTGTGGCAAAGACCGACCGTATGAATAGATTTTGCTGTGAACGAGGGGGCACTTAGGCTATGACTCTGATCATCAAATGATTTATGAAGATTCCGACTTGAGCTTAAGCCAAGAGTGGAAGAGTTGCCGAAGCATCATTGGGAGGAAGCAATGCTTGCAGGTGTATTTCAGGAGACGCCAAAGCCGAATTAGGTAGCCCATTCCAACGATATACTTGAAAATGGTGTCATGCAAGTTACAGTCGTTGGAGATTGTTAATACTGCAGCGTTGTATTGAGACTAATCCTTTTGAGCTCGCAATCAGGATTGATTTCTGGTAGAGGGTCTCGTGGATCAAATCTTTCGGGAAAAAACGAATCGAATGACGACTACTGAGACCCTTCATGACTGATTAATAGGTAAATAAGCATATCCATTATTTTGTGGCATAGGTCAAGCGTTCACAGCACCTTACGGATACCGAGTGCGAGAACTAGTTGTAGCTCTAGCCATGCAATGCCGTAGAAAGAAGAGCCGGGATGATGACTCAGGACCGTGCCAAAGTCAAGGGTGAAGTTTAGGTATGTTTATTGTGAGGTCAGCCCAATCAAAAAGGCATTAGAGGGTTTCAGATATTCCGTTTGTGACAGTCTGGAAGCAACAGAACTTGATCAGGGAGCTTCAGCTGGAGTGGAGTGTACATATGGTACTGCACTGGCATCCACAAGGGGAGAATTATTGGGTACATCTGGAAAAGAGCTTAAAGGTTATCTGTCCAAGAGTCCAAGAGTGATAGCGGAATTTCTAAGGTTGGCTGACTTTTGGCCGATCATGGTTAGAGTTGCCCCGAGTGACCAAAAACATTATCGTGAAATCTAACCCTTGTTATCTATGCCGACAATCCCGCCCAAACGAATATTGTTATACTGTGCCGTCCCACAAAACTCTTCTCACGACTTTGTAGAATTATATTTAGCCTTGCTATGTTGTATTTAATGAATGAATGCAATGCCAATGAGCCGGGAAATCTGTCTGAATGCAGAAGTCGTAATTTTTTCCTAGCCAACCCGAACATATTCTTCACTTGCATTTGTCCAACACCGGAAGTGTATTCAGCTTCCCGGACCCGAAATTGTGGTTCGCCAACCAAACCCCTTCATTAGCTCATTAACCGAAACGTCAGCCCAAATGCTTCAATCTTCGAATACGAAATTTCTGTCGTTTAGACTGATGATGATTTTCCAGGTTATATACATCGCTGTGCTATCGAGGTTTCCCATTCAGGTTTCTTATGCATCAATGAGCCTGCGACAACCACACACCACAATGAAATATATCACAATCACTAAATGAACGGAATGAGTACTCCTCCGAATTCATGCCGCAACGCAAATTTAATTGCGCGGACAGAAGCTTTTTATTTTATATTTTTACAAGAACAACATGAGAAAAACAATCCTCGTCCCAAGACTCCCACCCCAAATGTCAAAATCTCTTTCAAAGATGCAATATATCCACCAACGCACGAATTTTTACCCCTCCACGTACGAATACCACCAACAATGCAACAACAGCAGGGTTTGATAACACGCTGCATCGGTCGTCGGTCTGTTGATACAGCCCTGCCAATTGCTAAAGGTGCGCAAATCTATGCCCATGACCAGGTTCCCTTGATACGTCCAGCAGACTCAGGAGACAGGACCTTGAATGCAGCAGGGCTCAAATCCAAGTCGTTCTTAGCACAGCCCATGCATTTATCCACGACCTTGACAGTGACGGATTTTCCTTTGTATTTGATGTTGATTTTCTTTCCGCAGTATGGGTTACCGTTAGATTGGGTCCCCATGAGTCCATGGGACAGAGCAACGACCAATTCGGAGTCAGAATTGGTCCAGCCACAAGCACCGAGACCAACATCATAGTAGGTCAAGTCACCGGAGTTTGCGCGGCGAACGAGCTCGGGCTCGTTTGGGGATACTGCAACAGGAGCGGCGGAGATGAGGGGAGTGAACGCCATGACGATGGCACAGACAGAGGTGATTGTGAACTTCATTTTGTCTGAGGAAAGAGTGTTGGCTTCGAAAGTGTGATTTTTGGAGGAGAGTATGAGAATTAATGCACGGGAGAAGAGCCGTGTGCTATGAATTTGTTTTGAAGTATGCAATGGAAAGCTGATGAGATGATGCTGAAAGTGGTGTTTATTCGAAGGCAGAGAAGTGGTTTATATGTAATTTTCCACCGTGAGTCACTTCCTTTCTGACTTCCAAATCTGTCATTCTCTAGACACTGTCGGCCGTTTAAGATGAAGCTTCCTCCAGCGTAAGATTCCTTCTCTTTTTTTTTTAACTCATAGTTACACCGAAAGGATTGCAAGAGTTTCAAAACACATAATCAGTACAACATACGACGGCATGTCTAATAAAGGTTGTTCCTTCCTGCGGATTTGAACGTAAATTTTCAAGCCATTAAATATTCTTATTTGTACGAAACGGTGAGAAAGCAAGTTAGGGATCCCTTCGGATCTCCAAAATAAAGTTTCTAGAAACGTTATAACTTCGAGTTATGGGTACTGCTGCTGATAGCTTATCACTAGCTCCACAGACTGCCACGGTGTTCTCCCAGATTTCTTGTACATGTACCATTTGACCTAGGGTCATTCTGAACTATTGATCAGATTCTATTTCATCTGAACGTTCCCACTTCAGCCTTACTGTATGCGGGATGGGAACTAGTTTCAACACGATATGCATAGAAAGTGTGGGGCATGGTGATCCTCCGAAGATTTGCTTTATGGGTAGGTTCATGGTCTTTCGTCAGAACGTCTAAATTTAGCCCACTCCACCGGAGTAACGTGATACCAATTCTTGAGATAAATATGCTCAGATTACCAAGCATACTCCGTATGAGACTGTTTAATTGTCTTTACGTGAGGATGAGGTGGCATTTCCGCGATAAGCAAGACATTCATCTCACTTCGAATAAGCACTGAAAATGAAAGGTACAAAAGTATGAAACGACAAGGATAAATCCTTCCTCCAGCGGAAACTAATCCTGCTATGAATAGTTTCAAAGCAATACATTCCTAACAAAATTATTGGAAGTATGTAAGTGAATATTCGGCTTTGACTTGAGCATCAAATCAAGAAAGTCATGTGAAATGGCATGATATGTATCCAAATCATATCACTGGGTCTGCACTCTGGGAGACACCTACCAATCCACGAAAAAACAATGTAATGTTAGGTAACCTGGCCGAGATAGTTCTGCCAGTACCTTTCTGAGAGGTTAAAAGTAATGTATGTTCCAGCATCTGGAAAGATTTGAATATACACGGAGCTTGAATGCCGGGACTAGAGATTGTACCGCTCCCTTCACGGCTTGGATTCCCACTGTTAAGAATATCATTTATTGAAAGTCACCAAGCAACTATGACGAGTACGAGATATTTCCTGTTAGGATTCGTTAAGCTGCATCGAAAATTCGTTGGCTAAATCAGAGCTTGCCATCTTGCAATCATATTATCCACTCCTGTCGGTCACTATCATTTTCTTCGGATCCGGACTTACTCCCAGCGCACCTTCCACCAACAGTTATGTAAGAGTCATGGTTTACACTTTGAATCTCCGTAACTTCATAGGTTAAGAATGGTTGAGATTGTTTGACGTTGCCGAGAGCCGCGCCGCGGAATTTCTTGGGGGTTGGTCAACGATCTGACAGATTCCGACTTGGAGAAGAACTTTTTCACAGAGTCCGTGAAAATCCATAAATCATTTCGAGAAACCTATTGCTGCGCAGTGCTCTCACAAACTTTAATAGGCAAAAGAAAGGACGATCGATGCCACTTCCTAATATGCTAACATCTTGATGACTGGTGATATCCCGTCAGGAGAAGCGAACTTACATTTCCCTTACCCAATTATATGGGCCTTCACCCCAGTTCTTTTCAGCGCCTCGGAAGTCTTGGGGTGCGGATTACTTTGTTGAACAAGCCCAGCTTCCGCTTGACATAAATCAACGGAAATAACTGTGACTTTTCTAGAGCCTATTCGGTGCGGATGGATCCGCAGGTAATTTTGAGTGCTCATCAAGTGACTTGCGTGATGCAGCGAGGCAACTCAAGTCTACGGGGGATTCTTCGAATACCCCGGCCTGTGCATTATTACCAACAAGTTGGTCTTAAATTGCCCCTCCGAGCGAGGACAAAGCGCAGCGTCCTTTGACATTTCACCGTGGCGGTACAAAATAGATTGTAGAGGCAATCAAAAACTGTGTTTTAGTGGAGGCGTCCCGAGTAGTTGGATAGCAGTGACTTGTACTTCATTGATTGGTCCTCATATCATGATTAAATAGGGGAGACTTCTTGCCTGCCAAATACTTTCATAACCGTTGGTAGCACCACTAAAGATGCGACATTATGTTCAATCAAAAGACCTGCAGGTCGTGGCTAGGTATGTAGGCTTACGTTGATGTCGGAAACTCTTCACTTACTTTATGCAATTATTATTCGTGTGGTGTTACATCCTTCTTTCAAGGAGTCCTTGACAAAAACTCTTTCTACTTAATCAAGCTTTACAGTTGCTCTACTTATACAATCAACGTTGGATTTAGCGTCCCCGTAGCATTATAGTATTTTGACATTGCCAGTGTGCGTGTTCAATATGCTAACAAATGACATTGCTTGGTGCCTTTGGTATTCCAAGCATGAGGTTCTATAACGAGTAATCTGGGTGTTATCATGGCCAGATACTTTCAGTTCGTCCACCATCTAGTATCTACAGACTTCTTCGATTGATTAGCCGCATAGGTGTTTCGGGGGAGGAGAGCTTATATTCTTACTAACCAGAATAAAAAACTCCAAACTGTCACGGTATGAGCAAAGCCAATATCCATCACAATGATTAATATAGAAACCAAGCAAACAAAACGAAAAGAAAGTAACACAAATATAAATAAAAATGGAGAAAATACAACACGAATTATGAGAGAAATGAAAAAGAGGACTAAGATAAGGAAGCTCTACTCTAGATGGGGACATTTTCGCTTCGCCAAATCGGGAGTATAGGGGAAAATGTATCGGGCCAGCTAACTTGCGAATAAGCTTGAATGCTCCCTGAGTAGTGCAACATTAACAAGACACACCGCACCTATTTTCGATATGTGTTGGACATGCTGGGATGAGGTAGGTATTCATGCCACTTTTGTAGTGGTGCCTGTTGGCTTGGCAGTCGCCGGTTTAAGGGATTATCCATTGATGTTCGACCTTAATACCATATGTAGTTAGTACATTATACATCTCACTAAAATAATGCTCAATCTCCACATAACTCATTATCCTCCATCCAGTAATATAAAAGTTCGTCTAATTCTATCGCTAGCCAGCACTCTTTATATCAAGTGAACAAATTGTGCCATTGCACTGGCACACAGACACAGAAGGACTTCACCAATCGTCAAGAAAGTACCGCGACGCTCAAAGCATATTCTCGAGGTTGCAAAGAGAGTATTGCATGCAATGACTGATGTAAAGATGTACCAATTTGAAGAAGTCGCCAAGATCGGCTATAATTCTCGAGTAGTAACAAGTGTAATGACTGTGCGATACTACATTCAAGAGAGTCCAATCATTTAGCTTTTTGACTTACCAGCCAGCTATCTGTGACCTAGAAGTTCATTTTCACTATTACTCTTCAGGCAGGAATCGCTCAATTGTTGCAATTAAGATTGAAATGTGATAAGTTATTAACTGATTGCCTAGAACGTTCAGACCGCTTCACTTAACCAATAATAAGTATATTCAGCTATACACACTGTGATTTCATGGAAAAGAATCAACATAATTACTGTACAGCTTATAAAAACATGGATCCAAAAGACCCTTACATAAAAATGGCAATTAGAAATTGGGAAGATTGATGTATGGTAGTATATGGACATAAGACTTGGTAATTCAGTGATGAAATACTATTTCCACTATATACGAGTTTAGAATTGGCTTGCATAACTAGAGATTTGATTGCTTATTCTTTCCAATGAGTTTACAATAGTAAATCACACTCTAATATACTTTATTTGGAAGTCAAACTTTGCTCTAATAGAATAACTTAGCATAATAATCAATCTATACCTAATTCCATATCTAAACTAATCTAGTAATCAAGTAACAAAAGAATATATATGAGATCAAAGATGGTTTGTATGATTTAAGATTTGCTCGCTAATTGTTTCCAATAAACTCGCAATAATAAAACAGAGTTCTCAAGTACCCTGCAGCTATGTCTTATGATAAAAGGGTATATTAACCCTTGTCTCCTTGAACCATTCTGAGTGTCCCGTTGACCGTGAAGCCAATGCGATACTCAGAATGAGATAGGCAGAGGATGTAAACATATCCTGGCCTATATCTCGGATAAGCATCTGTGCTTGGGTCCCGATTGGGTCGTTTATGATTTTCCCAAGGGAGAAAAAATAATAGGAACACCAAATGGTGAGGTTTCTAGATTCTTTTTTTCTTCACTGAAATATCTATTGTGACGTTCAGAGTACTTGATGATATTGTTGTTTAAGTCTTGTTTGTGAAATTTCACTTTGTTATACAAGATTCTACATTTCTTGGATTACTGGGAAGTTGACTACTTCATTAATTTTCTACTGAATGTGAAGTTATTGGAGATCTTGTGGACATGAATATTTATGTGAATAATGGTAATATCTCAACAAATGACAACTTTGGAGGCAACCAGGTTAATGCAATATGAGATGTTTATTACAGTTCAGCTTGTTTGTGTTGGGACCTGCACATACCTACCCCTACCTGCACCTACCCACACCCATCTGTACACACCTACCCCTACCTACACCTACCTGCATGTACCTACACCCACCTGCAACCACCCTCGCCACAGGACCAAAAACCCTGTGACAACCCGACCCTTGTCCCAGTGTTATAATAAATATAACTATTCAAGCTCATAAAAGCCCCTGACAACATTGAGCATGCCCTAAATGGAGTGGGCAACTCACATACAACAAGTTAACACCAAAGCGAAGGAATGGTATCCCCACACTTAGCTTTGGAACTAAAAGCCTGTATCGGAAATGCAGGAAAATTGGCTATCTCGAGGTGATAAATATGGATTTCTGTGTTTATGTAATTAGTACCTTACTTTAGCCCGTCCCCAGTACCCTTCAGGAGGTCGTGGGTAGGCTCCGCCCACCCCCCGGACGTTAATTTATTAAATAAATAAATAAATAATTGTTTGTGTTGGGTGGCTTGTTGGAAATAACCTCTCGAAAAGATTTGTATTTTGGTGCCAAAACAGTAATAGCTCTAAGCAGCGAAACAATCCTAAGCATTTCCTCACTATGTTGAGACCAAGAAACAAACTCTGTAACACAAACTTATATTTCTTTGAGGCAAACAATAACAACAACAACAACATCTTTGGAGGAAACTTAGCAATGACAAATCCAGTTCAGATGAAGTATTAGTACAGTCTCTTCTCACTGAATAGCAGATCACCCTTTTAGCTTGGTCAACATATATACTATTCCATAATTACAAACAACCACTTGAGAAACAATCATCATCAAGGCCATCAGGCCACCACCTACTAAGCACAACCTCCAATTGACAAGGCCTGGGGTATGAGGGTATGACTACTTTTTCCTCCCAGAAACTCTTTGATCTCCTTCAAACCCCAATCTATTTCAAAATTTTCCTAGCCTTGCACAGCATCAACAAAATTGCAATATTAACAATTCACTTCCCAATAGTTTTGCTTCAATCCAACATCCCCAGAAGATATTAAAATTCTGCACTCTGTCCCCAAATGATATTTGTAACACTTCCGATTCTTTACCTTCGATGGCTGGCCAGAAGCAGACTTCTTTTCTTCTAAACAATTCACCACTCTCCAATCAATTCTTCTTTGATTGGATCTTTCACATGGCTGATGCTAATATAGGGTTCAGATATCTATAATTGTAGTCGGCGCACCACATCTTCTACATGGCTCATGGGCCATGGCGCACTTGGTGGTTCCCTGATATCATTTGCTGCAAGCTCATTTGTGGGACCTAATCTAAGGGATGCTTGTAAGTACTAGTAAATGATATTAATTCCGATTCACTTGATAGATCGCCATGCTGATGATAACTGCGTTAGATTGTCTATTGGCAGTCAAGAACCGCGTCAAGAGCGAAGTAATACCCTTAAAGCCTTTAATTTCAGTGGCATTCATGGCAATCCAAAAGGTTTGCGCTCTTCAACAACATCAACGTCAACAACAGCAGCAAGCCGCACATAATCAGCACATGAGTCCACCTTTACCACCTCCAGTTACTCAAATGGGCGGACCATATTATTCAAATCAACCACCTCCTCACCCACCACACCAACACCAATATCCTTAGAAGCAAAAAATACATCATTGAGCCTTTAAGTGCCACTTACTGGCTCCTACATATTTGCTAGGCAAGTAGCAGACTTCCGATGCTTGAACCTTGTAATTAAAAACGATCAAGATGCTAACGCGATTTTGTGTCACAGAAGCTTACTATGATGCTCACAACACCAGAAAACCTGCTGCTTTCCGCCATTAAAAGCAAGCAACAAATAATCTGCGGTTCCTTACATAGTATTGCATCATCCATGTCGAGTCCAAATCAGAAAGTATTACAGTTCATCAAGAAATCTGTACTACATAGTACAATCGCACGGAATTGATACATATCTGATTGCATATGAACACTCGCAACATCAACATGTTCTGCCGCCTAAGAAGACAGCTGAGCGATCGATCAGAGTCAGCCAGTATCCACCCCGAGGCTTGAATGCCGTTTCGATTGCCTCAATCCAGCTCCGACGCGATACATTCCGCAAATTGCGCCTGCCAGGGGATTAAGTAGAAGGATCTTGACATCAGCCTCGCTGGTTCGTTCTTGATGTCCTAAGCTGTTGACAATCTGAGCCACCTTATCTGGACAAGGAACCTCTTTAAAGCTTTTCACTTGAATGCTACAGCGGCACACCACGTCTCAAGATATCCGAGAAACTAAGGAAAGAGCTTAAGGCTCGGCGTTGGCATCCGAAGCAGAGCATTCGTCGGGCTGCGATGGCTACTCTGCCTTTTCTTTAGTACTTCGCTACTGCTGGAGTACTTGATTAAATGCTGGCGGCATTTATGATAGCAACCTGTCACAGCAGCAACTTTCCTCTCCATGCGAGCCAAAGCACCAGTTATAACACCCTCAAATTTATCACAGCACCGGTCTCACTGAACACCTTGCTCGACGAGAATCACGCCCTATTTAGACGCTGGCTGGAAAGGACATCTTCAAGAAAGAGATCGGGTTTATTCGATTTGATGAAGGCTGACTATCACCATAAAGAAACACTTGCTGCTAAATTAGCCACTGCTGAACGCACAAAGGATGTTTGCATGACAACCATGACAAGTTTCCGTATGAAGAAAATGTCGTCGCTCTCAAAACGGTTTCCAATACCGACGGCTATAAAATTGGATCAGTCGGATGCGATGATACGATATCATCATGATAGTAGAAAAGATCATGGCCGGCACCAAGACAAGTTCAAACTAATCCCAAAGACAGATGGTTCAACCTACTTGGAAAACCCAATTACACGGTCGACACGTTGTTGATCCAATATATTTACATGCTCATCTCAAGCATTCAGCAGATTTCTACTGCCAGATTCCCACCCGTGTACGAAATTCGTCAAAGTTCTTTAAACACTGCTGCCGTCAACTTACTGTGCATCGCTCTCGACCATCTTCGTGCCCGGAAGGACTCCGCAAAATGTTATATACCAAAAATACGATGATTTAGGCCATAGTATAGTCGCGGCCAATACAAGCTCGCACTTTGCGATTCCCATCCAACCTGCTAAAACATATAATCGAACACTAAACACCTCGCTCGACTCCCGAACTCAAGAAAACGACCCGAAACTTCATGAACATGAAGCCCTTGGCACAGAGTTTTTATCCTTCCACTTTCTCCAGACAATGGTTAAAGCAGATCTTGTGATCATGGAATTGTTTATGTCGTATCTAGCAAAGTAGCTTTTGACTCGAGCAACAATCTTCAGCGAGCCAAGTGTCATGGGACAGTAATTGTTAAATTTCTGTCCTCACTGGAGGGATTGAGTTTTGAAACGGGGAACGAAGTCAAATGCAACAATAACGCAGTCGAAGACAACAAAGTCAAATTGCAATAGACAGATATGGCAGTATCGACATCCTACGGAGCTTAACAGCCGTTGAAGCAATACCAAGAAGTACTCTTCGGATAGTTCGATCAGGATCCGGTGCGCTGCGGATTCTGCTGCCTCTGCTGTTGTTATTGCTATTGCTGCTGAGAGCGTTGACTCGGATATTCGGAACATGATCTCAATAAGTTCAAGAAGCTCTCTTGAGTGTAAGTCAATAATGGAAACTACTTCATCCCAAATGTTGAGTCACATTTGGTTTCTCTATTTCAAGCCAACTAGCAGGCTGTTGTATCACGTCTACCTACGCTAGAGACGAGGTCGGGAAAACGAAATACCCTTTCATGAGAACGGTTAGCAAATTCGTACCTATTAGTCCTAGTAAATCCGGACTGGACTGATAGATTGACTTACACCTCGCAATCGTGCTGCCAGCCGAGCTTGCCGAAGGCGAAAGTCCTCTCGAGACATCGAAAAAAGTATCAGCCACCAAAACCACCAAAATGCCTCATATTCCATCACTACATGGATTAGCAGAGCCAGGAACACACTAACTTGAACATATACTAGTTTCATAAACTCCCAAGAAACCCCCAAAACAAAGTGAGAGAAACTTCCTCGGCTATCACCGTCAACGTGACAACATTTCATGAACGACATGACACCTTCATCACAAGCATCGCGTTCCGAGATAGTCTATGAATTACCGCTTGATGTCCCAGTTTTTTTAGTGGCGGCATTACCAATCCAATGAATGATCCACTAGGTGTTACGAAAGAAGACTTGAGAGGTTGGATAAAAGGGGAAATCAAGGAGCAATCAGAAGGGATGTTCATTTCTCCGGTTAACACGAGTATCGAAATATCCAAAGATGTTTGCTGCTCCTCAGGCGACGGAAATAATACCGAAAGAACTACTCAAATCAAAGCGAAGACTGAGGACGATTTGCACAAATAGATCGACTTCAGCTACGCCCATTACTCAGGTAAAGGCGATGTTAGCAGCCCTACTAACTTCAAGCATTCGGTTCGAGTCAGCTTCGCACAATCAAATACCAACGCCCACAAGATATCAGGGATACTAGTAGATGGTGCAATTCGAGTCCTCGAGTAGCTCATCCTGCGAAAAGAAGTACTTGAGTTTCTGGAGTTGAAGCTACTGGAAGTATCTTTGAGACCAGGAGAACTTGAACGGCTCTACCTAGCCAAAAAAAAGAGAGGATGAGACGTACCCAAAGATAATTGCTCTCGCTCCGATCTTCAGGCTCCAAACCCATATTTGGTCATACAAACACAGAGTATGCACAGAACACGCAAAGGCCATAAGTACCACTGAACATGGCAGCCCAACCAAAAAAAAGAATGGATAGATCAACTCATTGCTCACCGCAGAGGCCTTGGGAAATTACTCCCTAACTCGACAGATTAGATTGTTGGATTGCTGTTCCGACCAGGAACATGAATTTGAACAGGACCAATGCTGGGATGACCATGCTCGTCACGATAGCTCAATCAGCCACCATGGGGATGGTAATCGCGTCTACGATGGATACAATCGGGGTGATGTACCCAGGTCTCCATGGAACCTGATCATAGAGGGCACTCCACCAAACATCTCGAGTCAACGATTTCCTGCGGTTCACAAAATGATTTTGCATTTGTTGGAGGTTTTTCTGACACCTTCGCATTTTGGCGTCTACCATGTAAGAATCCAATTGGACGGGAGCCACCTCGAGTGGAAATTTCCAAGCACTTGCAGAGACAGAAAAGGAGCGAGCGAAGCAAATCAAGCAGGTACAATTGCAGTGCTTGGAACTTTGCAAGTCTGCAACTGTAGCAATCCCTCTCGATCCTCCGCTCTCCTCCCTTGACCTTGACCCTCACCCTCCCGGATTACCTCGAACTTGCTATCTCGAACTATCAAACAATCAACACGAAAGTTTCGGATGATAGGGGAGAACTACTCATAGATGACTTCTACAGAGATTATCAGTGGTTCCAGCACACAAACAAATAAACAAACAAATAAATTGATAGATACAGCTAGCTGTGACACTATCATAAATCAGCGCGACCTCAAGTATAAGTAATTAATACTCAAGCTCCTCCTCTCAAGGTCTCCAAAGCTCATGCTGCTGCTTCTCAATATAATAACGGCCGTACCGTGCCGATGATGTCAAAATTGCTGTACACACTCACCAGATACAAGAATCATTGATATATAATGCGGAACACTTCTTTTATTTCCATACCTGCGTTTAAAGATGGGTTTTCATGTTCATATTCATAATCATATCCACAGTGTGAAATTAATTAACCTCCCATGCCAATAAACTCCATAAGCTCAAAAACGACAACCGTGCAATACCACAATCAACATCCTTTCCATTGCGACTCAGATTACGAGTAGAAAGAACTGCGCTACATCTAGCAAGTAACTATATGACAATATAATAAGAAAAATAAAAAATAAACTCGGTTTTAAGCAGAAGATCGCCGTCTAGATCTTGTTTCTTTGGTATAAAGTGATAGACAGACTTTGATTTCCATCATTAGTGACTAAACTAAGTGTGCTATTGCAAGTTTTCTCCCGCTCTTGTTTTTAGGGTTTGAATATGAGTATTCTTGCTAGGGATTCTGAGACTGAGACTGCTGATGCACTGGCAGCTGGTGACTGAAAACTAGCAACTGGCAAGTAGCAACTAGCAACTAGCAACTAGCAACAACAAGCCTTCAATAAATGATAAAATCCGCTCCCATTTGCAAGTTATAATATATAGTTCCTGTATAAAAAGAGCGAGGCACTTACCTCTCTCAACTGCACTTATTTACATCTTCTTCCTTGCTAAATCTTCAATGTTTGCTCGGCATACCACTGTTTTCCACATATTTAATTTTGGCCAGCTTAGCTTAGATCTGATTAGTTGCCATTGGCGCTTCGGTGTCCGGCCTGGTGATCTTCAAATATCTCAGTGTTATATCCGTGACGGGAAGAAGACGTCTCTATCGAGGTGACTCCACGATATACGTCAAGTGGTCGGAGTGGAGTGGATGCTATATATTGATCATAGACCTTTTGGCATTTATTGACCCATTGTGCTTGTCGAAAATGGCAACGCAATGATTTTTGGCAGCATCACCAGGAAATCCGCGGCTCATAGTTACCACCGATATCCTCGCATGATGTTTCTGTCTTCGCGCCTTGTTGCATCGTGCTATAAGTGAAGATCGAGACATGCACCCATCCACTGCTTCGGAAAATTACGAATCATGACAGATGATGTTGTAGAAGACGAGAAAATTGCGATTTATTGAAGATCATTATACATGGAAGCAAAATCTGCCGCCGCCGGGTGCCAAAACTCCTTCAATATATATCACCAACGCCTCTCCAAATCCCATTTTGAGGTGACCCTGTCCATTAACATTCTAAAAGATTAGAAGAATCTCCACCAGATGAAGATGATTATAAAGAGTCCCAGTCCACCAATTGGTCCATACTGTTTCAACAATAACTCCCAGTTGATTCTTACGGCAGCTTTGCGATATTTTTTGCTATCTTCTCTCAGTCTGCTGCTCACTTCTCCCATACGCTCCAGGTTATCTCCTCTATAAAGCAAATCCTCGATGTTCTTGGTCATAACCTTGGTAACGTCTCGGAGTTCATCATTGAGCTTGTCAAGATTCTGAGTCGCTCGCGTATCAGAATATGTGGATTTTGTCCGCGAAATAAAAGTATCGAAATCCATAAACGCATATGGTCTCAAAGTGACTGAGTGTACTTGAGTGGCTGGGTATGTGTTGTTGAATTCGGTGCAAATATCAGAGAGGTATGTGAATGCAAGCTTCCTTGGATATGAGCGTTCGCAGATGCAGAGAAAAACGACATCATTCGAAATCATGTAGCTAGGATGGTGTCAGAATGGTATGAACAGTGTGTTCCAGCTTGAAATACAAGTTGCTATTCGATCATAGGAGAAAGAATAAGGAGAGACCTGGGGCGGAAGTCCTTCGACTGAACGCCCTGTATTGGTAGGTCACTTTCACATGTGATATAGCTCATCGCAGCGCAATTCGAGATCTGCACTCGCACAATCTTGCTTTGCCATTCCATTTTGTGAGACCTGATGTACTTCTCGGAGGTCTCATGATTCTGAGTCTTATTGAATCTCACAGTAAGGGCTACAGAACCAATCCCAGACGAGATTCTTCCAACTGGATCCAAGGAAATTGTGCTTCTAGAACGTACTGCATAGTATATGGACCACTATCGAGAGTGGCTTGCTCGGCGGAGTTTCGATTCATTTTCCGGAGAACCAGCTTCACTTGGGACTTGATGTCGGCCAAAGAATTTTCGGTCTGGGGAGTACCAAAGTCAGCCTCATAACTTTTAATCTAGGAATAGTTTGCGCACCTGTTCGTCATCAACTGAAGCGCACAACATTAGGCCTAGATTGCGATATCAGCCATGTTCTCTGAATCTAAAAGGAGACCATTGTACCATCTAGCCTGGCAATTTGTGTAGATTTGATCATCTTGTCGCTTCGTATCTGGAGCTCCTTTTGATATGATTGTTGGGTTTTATATTATGATATTGATTTATATTTTGTAAGTTCGAAGTCGCAGGTTGTGTGGAGATATTGATTCAAAATTATGAGCACCACAGAAGAGTTCGCAGAAAAATACAAATTAATAAATTTATTGTTAAAGGAGGTAAAAGTGTCCAAAAGGAATGGCTGATGTCACTTCAATGAGTTCAAGAGCTTGTTCGGATTAATCTCGCAGATAATCCTAGTTTAGAATCCTTGTTCGGATTAACTCTTTACCGACACCCCGACAAGCACCAATTGGTGATAAGGCTGAGTTTCTGTCTGCTCTCTTCAACTTCTAGTTCAAACCAAAATTCGAGATTGAAGAACTCTCTTCTTCAAATCCTTCGTTTTAGAAAATAAAAACATATCTTTACGACCTTTGTGACCTCTCCCTCTCTCTTCCTCTCTCTTGACAAGAGCCTTTCATCATATCAGCTCGACCATTTCTTCATATTCTTATTCTACCTCTACCTCTACCCCCACGCCATTCGTTCCACCAAGTTTCTGATGGATGTAAACAGCGCGCCCTCTGCCCCGGTCACGGTGGCTCCACCGAGCTCGGGGGCCGCGGATTCTGGATTTGATACCCAGATCGCGACGGCAGCGACACCGATTTCGATATCGGAAGCTTCTTCGACGGCTTACAACGAGGCGATTGGGGTGCTCGACTCAATCACCGCGTACCACACAGCAGCACGACCGGTAAGTACTTTCGGATCATCTAGTCACGTGTCAAAAGATCTAGATCTTTGGCTAACCACCATTCTCAGGAGATGAACCTGTCTTTGACCAGAGAGATCAATCAATTACCCGTGGAGAGACCACTAAGTGGTCACTTTATGATCTCCTCCTGCTCTGATAGAGCATACATCCCGACACCATTCAACACACCTCGCACGGTGACCGTACGAGAATCACACCTTCCAAAAGCTTCTTCCAGCAGAGGAAATGAGAAGCCGGCTCTCAAGAAGGTAGCAACTCGTCTCCCAGGTGATGGCTCGAGCGAGAAACCCTACCTCCGTGGAGGAGGCCCAAAGAAGCGTCTTGGTGGCGCAGCTGGTGGTGCTCGCAAGAAGCCTAAGCCTGACAAGTACGCGGATATCGATCAATTACTATCTGACTTCAAGTCACCCATCTTCCAAGCAAATGCAAATATCAAGGTAACAACAATTATTCATTTTCCAGTATTCCTACTCATACTGATTAGGCGGTTATTACACATCCATTGGCAAAGCAAACGATGGTTGAGCAAGGTGAACCATACCCTTTCGACCATATGACTGGAGACGAAATTGCAACCACAGCCGCAGACTTCAAAATAGATGGTACCTATGGAAGATTTGAGCCAGACTGGATTTCACAAGCTCTGGTAGCATCAGAAACCCGTGCATCAGGTGGGTATGATGACTATTTGGCCGCTCAATTTGCAAAGCACTGGGCAGAGGATGAAGAAGAACTCTCAGACGAAGAGATGAAGGATATCGACGATGCAAAGAATGACAAGGAAAAGGAGAAGAAATAGATTGATGTTCATGATCTTCTCTCATGGAATAGAAGCTCTTTCGATACTTCGACATTCCTCTCGCCATCATCCAGTCTCGCAGCCATTCATTCATCAAATACACGCAAACAGATTATATTATTTATTTATTTAATAAATTAACGTCCAGGGGGTAGGCGGAGCCTACCCACGACCTCCCGAAGGGTACTGGGGACGGGCTAAAATAAGGTACTAATTACATAAACACAGAAATCCACATTTAATATCTCGAGATAGCCAATTTCCTTGCATTTCCGATGCAAGTTCTAGTTCCAATGCTGAGTGAGGGGATACCATTCCTTCGCTTTGGTGATGAACTTGTTGTGTGTGAGTTGCCCACTCTGTTTAGGGCATGCTCATTGTTGTCAAAGGGCTTTTATAAGCTTGTGTAGTTATATTTATTATGACAAGGGGAGTGTTTTACAGTTTTTCCTGAGGTGCGGCGGCGAGGGTCAGGCCGCAGGGGGTGTGGCCCGTTTGAGTTTGTGCAAGTAAAGAATTGATTCCAGTTATCTAGACTACGTTCTCTAAAATAGCTATAATCAACGACAGGATAGCAAATCCTATCTATACTTTCTCAAGAGGCTTCGATATGTCCTCTCTTCGGAGGTTTCATTTGGATCAAAGCTTTTTTTTATGCTTCCCTATTTGTTTGCTTCTTAAGCCTACCCAGTATCTCATTGCCAACTGTCTAATGTTATATTGTAAACCGGCATGCGTATCTGTCCTCTCGAGCTATACAGACAGTATTGCTGTTGTTGCCATTGTATACTACGTTCCGCAGCATATGAATGCTGTTTCGTGTTACCTTGCCGGATCTTTCCTCTCCACAAGGCCGACCGTGTTTTGCAAGCTTATTGCGCTCACACCCTTAACTAAGCGGTATACTCATAGTGTTTCTAATCTACTAACCAAAACATTCTAGTATTATTTTCCTCCCAATATATAGTTTATAGTTATCTAGAAAACCGAAGCGGAACGTTTAAGATATATCGGATTGAAGTCGAAAAGCATAGGAAGTTGTAATCCTGTATATTGTTGTTGAATCTGTCTTTATAGGGCGTTTTTCTGAAATCTGTAGAAACTTTTATATTATTCCCTTAGTATATGTAATGTTCCTTTCGCTCCCATGGATCCTTTGTAGTCACTCTCTGTTTTTCTATATTCTCTGTTGGCTTTACATAGACATTTTCTGCTTTACTCTTTTTATATCACTATTTCTCTGATTATTTGTAAATCTCTAATATGGTATACCTGCATATTGTACTCGTTGTAAGATTCTAATTCAATTCGTAATGTTCCAGAGGTTGTCCTGTCGATTTCTGATACAATCGTTTCCTTTGCAGACTTTGCATCCCATTGTAGACTTGTAAGGGCTGGTTTCGTTTCAAGGGCTTGTAGTGAGTTTCCTGTCAGGCTCTGCTTCTTACAACAGACTCGTAAGGGCCGGCATTGCTTTGAATTCGTCGGTTGTAGCTTCGGTCGTCGGATGGTTTTCATCTCCATTTCGCTGGCAGTCCTCTGTTCCGGGCTCGTCGCGAGCACCTACACGACGCTCAGCTGCGAATATCTTTACATCCAGTATCGCTTCCGATTAGTGTACGACTACTACCCAGCTTCAGCGACTCTACTTAGCTCTCTGAACACTAGTAAACTAGATCGAAGGTTTGTAAGATGCACCACGTACAGGTGAGAGTCTTTGCATCCCTTAGATTATATTATTACGTTATATACTAAGTCATTTAATAGATATTCAAACTACTAGTATTAGTATCGAGTATTTCGTAGATATAATTCTATATAGAAGTAGATTAATATCGAAATATTTCTTAAATATAATTCTAGAAAGAATTAGTTAATAGAGATATATATTAGAATGTATGAAGTGATATGAGGTCATCCCTTTAATAATATACTTATTTACGATATAGATATATATATATATTAGTCTCTACTGTCTAGTAATTCTCCGGTTTCCCAAATTATAAATTATTTAGTAGTCATTGTTTCTTACTTATAGCAATCGGATTAAGATGTTATATTAATGCGGGGTAAGAGTATACAGTTACAATATACTCCGCTAATGAATGTGATCTGCGCTAGGGTCCACAACCTGTCGCATTTGAATAAAACCTCAATGCATACAATTTCCTTGATGTGAAAGTCTTGACAGACTTTTAAATACCTATTAAGATCACCAATATTCTACTCTGCTTTTCGCAAGAAATCTTCCACCAATCAAGCAACTACTACTCCTTATACGCTAGCTACCCCAACTTCTTATACAACACAATCCAAGGGTCCACAGCTACACAAACTATCCACAACCTCCCGAAACGCCAAACTTTTAAATCATCATGTTCGACCACTTCATTCTCCGTCACATCCCTCCTCTGCTCCTCGCCACAACCATAACTCTAGGCGGCACCGCGCCTCTCTGGAACCCCGAGAACGCCATCCGAACATTCGGTTTTCCTCGAAGTATCGCTGTTTCTAAGCCTGCCCATCCCGTTATGGTGTGTGGCTCGGCCCGCGTCACGGTCATCGGCATTGCGCTGTGGGGTTTGTATTTGGGCAATCACTTTGAGGCTATGGATATTGTGATTGCTTCGTTGGGATATCTGGCTATTGTGGATGGGTATGTTTGTTGGAAAGATGGTGTTCCAGGAAGTGTGGCTTTTCGAGCCGGTAGTGCTGGGCTTATTTCTCTTTGGGGTATTTTTGGGATGACGGCTGGTGGATAGGATAGGGTTAGATCAGTTTTATCTAGTACCGGTAGGTTAGGGACGTTATTTACACGGTTTGGCTCATCACTCGAGTGGAGCTTTTCAATTCACGCAATATGATTTTAAGATTCTCTCACTCTTCACCTCCAAAGCCTCCCCATCCTCATTAATGTAGTCACACCTAGGTTACACTAGGCAATTATCTAATAAATGACTGCGAGATAGCGAGATATCTCGGAAGCTAGGAGGAGCTTTCCCCGCGGTCCGGGAAATCATCGGATATAAGCTTACCACCTGCCTCCTTATTTCAAAGCCAACCTTTGCTGCAGTATATTCAGAATCATTCAAACGAAACTGTGAGTGCTTGATAGTGGCACTATAGCTCATCTGATTAATTAATTGATCATTAGATACTAAACCTACTTACCGGTATTTATCAATCGAAAGCCGACGCACAGCAAGCCAACCAGGAAGCCAGCCAGCCATCGACATGTCTCAGAACAACTATAAAGATATCATTGTCACGATTAAGAACCGGATTGGCATTATCAAAGTAGGATATGCGTAATATATAGCATGAAATATCGCTAACGTACAATTAGTTTAATCGTCCCCAAGCTCTAAACTCCTTTGGAGGCAATCTAATTCCAGAAACAATCGCTGCTCTCCGAGAACTAAATGAGCATCCCGATACTGTATTTACGGTTTTGACTGGCGTAGGAAGATTCTTTTGCGCGGGTGCAGATGTGAGACGTGAGTGTTATACACATACTCGACTTGCGGATTATTAATGTACTGACTGTACTGACACGTGAGATATATATAGAGGACGGTGGATTATCTGGCGAGACAAAATATGCCAATGCCGCCGAGACAAAACTTGCATACCTTTCCAAATTTACTGTTGGTAAGCACCTCTTCTATTCAGATGTTAATTCGAACGAACTAATGACCCGGCCAGGTCTCGAGATCATGCGTTCGATGATCGATCACACCAAAGTTTTAATTCTCGCTCTAAATGGGCCAGCCATAGGAGCCGGTGCGGCATGGTTCCCAGGCGTTGCCGACATTGTCCTCGCGTCCACTTCAACGTATCTCCAAATTCCATTTTCGGCACTGGGGCTTGTGCCCGAATGTGGTTCTGCTGTCTCATTCACCCAATCAATGGGTGTTCATCGCGCCAATGAGTTTCTTATGTTTGGAAGAAAGCTTGATGCGGATGAGATACTGTCGTTTGGGATTGCTAATCAGGTATTTGAGAAAGAAGGGTTTGAGGGGAAGGTAATTGAGTATCTAGAGGGGATGTTGAAGATTAATGATGGGAAGAGTATGATGGAGACGAAGCGATTGCAAAATTTGCCATTGAGAGATTCGAGGATATTGGCTGTGTATAATTCGATTGATGCGTTGGCTGAGAGATTTGTTGACGGTACGCCCTTTGAAAGATTTGAGGCCAAGAGAAAGGAAATGGAAGGTGAGTTATAGAGCAGACTTTCGATAGCGGCATTTGGCTAATGTAAATTTGTAGCAAAATCTAAAAGTCGAACTTCAAAGATTTAGATTGGAGCTAAGGGATGGGTGAATGAGAGAAGAGGATAGACACCCTACAAACAGTCCCGAAAGGTAGTATACATCAGAATGAGTCTCAAAAGTAGAAGATAGGAGGCCAAGTGATTTATGTTGCACTCTTTATAACAGGTACAACACAATTACAGCTTCAAATAATCTTGACTCCAAATTAGGTACATATCTAGCAATCAAGTCTCGCTCAGCAAATCATACATTAATAAGTGTGCCGCATCCTCAGAGTTGCAGATAATAACATCAATTGTCTCTTGGTTTTTATTGTATTTCACGGCTCTACTGAGACATCTTTTTTTCAAAACTAGATTATTAAATCATTTGGTATCATAAATCTCCCATTAACTCATCCCATCCCCAAGCCGCAAGCAAACCAGTCCACCGCACTCCATCCACCATATCTTCCCGCATAATCTTCACATCCATAGCCTTCTTCCACTACTACTTCCACTACCAGAACCACCAAAATCATGATCAACTTATACTCCGTACATCCGTTACATGGGATAACATATTCCCATCCATCACCATCACCGAAACCAATCATATCCATAGCCCTAAATTCTAAAAGTTAGTATTATATTACTTACCGCGTATACCTTTCAGTCAATAATCCGATAAAGCTCAAAGCTTGATGCTCTGCTATCCTCTATCAGATCTGAGTTGAAACCATGATTGATCCGTCGAGAGATTCGACACCCATCATGACCTAATTTGTAATTTTTAAAAAGCAATAGTGTAGTTGCATTATGCATTATAGAGTCCACCGCCGCGGAGCAAAAGTTTCTTTGGTAGCGAGAAGTTCAAAAACATAGAGGGAGATGATAGTCTCGCCCAAATTCTGAGTTTAGATTAAGTCTAGCAGTGGTATCGTTATAGCAAGAGAGTTTTTTTCGTCTTTCCGCCATTTTCCGCTCGTTATTGTTTGACCTAGACAGCTGCCGACACGACTTCAGGTTTAGAAGTGGAGGCTTTTCGAACTTAGTTGCGAATGTGTTGTGTCTCAAGAATGAATCGAAAATGAGTATCTTTGTACGCGGCCTTCACCGTTTCAAGCAATGAGCTCTTTACTATTCGCCGATTCGATACTTGGAATGCCCGAATTATACTCGCTCGGACTACGAGTATAAGATAACAGATGCGTGATGGATATGGAAGAGAATATTCACTGCCCTATTGACAGAAGATGTTAGGAAGGAAACGGAGCTATTTGAAGGGATTTTCAGCCGAGATTTGCTGTCAAATAGAAGATCAAAGAAGATTGGAAGGACATAGTAAGCAAGATTACAAATTGCTATAATACCATCTCCACTGGTCTCTAGATACCACCAATAAACATGTACTCGAGTATAAATCTATAGATCTTCACGCAGCATTGAAGACTTGGTTGGCTACTGATGAAACCAGCTCAAATATCATTTCAATAGAGTAATCTGCATTGCATTATTGAGGGTGCGATATATAAGGAGAATGAAATATCTCGCTCGATGAAGATCTCTATCTAAGGTTCCAAACACTAACTTCTAAGACGTCTTTGAGACGAGCTTTGGAGCATGTCGAATGCTTCAATATTGCAGATTATGGGCTCAACGATATAGAAAATTCATTGAGATTTTCTACGAGTATGTCTAATATGGGTGTATGTCACTGTATCATATAGCACTTGCCGAGTTTCCCTGTAGCCATAACTATACTCTGTAACCATAATTAAGATAAAACGTCCCAAGTCCTTTGGTCCAACACAAGTACAAGTAAAAGACTCAAATGTTTCCCGTGATTATGGAAGATATTGGATCAGCTAGTGTACAGTATGATGAAAAGTATTCGACAATTAGCTATACCAGATATATTTCCAATCTTTAGAAATATCTTCCACATCCACTAACACCAAAACCCAAAAACTCCATAGAACGATTTATATTCACTTATCAAATATAAAAAGAACAATACGCCCTCCAAACACGAACCGGATACAGGAAGGGGTAGTATATTAGCCATATCATGGTAAACATATCTGATTTATGTATTTGCATTCCATTCCATTCCATCCGTACTAAATTCTAACGAGGGTAAATATGAGATGTGCACCCAGTAAATGTAATCTTTACGAGCAAGCACACATGCTTAATTCTATGATTCCATAGCATAAAAGCAACCATTATCACCTCTCCTATCACATCTCCTATTCAAAAAGTTAGGCTTGCTTCTGCTCTTCTGAGCCAGAGCCAAAGCCACTCCTCACAAGCGGTTGTTTCCAGATTCCGGTCCTGGTCATCTTTTCTATTTTCTATTTTCGAAAGATGTGAATATAGATGTAGATGAATGTGCTCGCATATCAACTGAGTGTACCAAGCTATGATGGATTTTTGGGACAAATCTTAAATATAGAGAGAGCGAAAAAGAAAAGAATAAAGAGAAGGAAGAAGAGAATAGAATGCCAATAAAAATATAATAGGACAGGAATATAGAGATATATGCATACCTAGTAGTATATATAACATACGCACGCGCAGCCTAGGGCCCTAATCTAACCTAACCTACCATAGAGACATAACATAAGATAAAACAAGACAATACATAAATAAACACAAATGCAAACGTTAAAGGAAAAGGAAAAGGAAATCAAGAGAGAGAAAAAGAGAAAGAGAAAGAAAGTAAACTAAGATAGACAGATATATAGAGACAGAATACATAACATAACACTCAAGAATTTCCACCTTGTGGAAATCCAAGATTGCCATTATGCAGACAGAATACATATATATAAAGAACCATACCTACTCGTCTGATGTCATATGTGCAAAGTATGAATCAAGATTTTGAAACCTAGGAATGAGGGAAAATTGGTCTCGTCCGATGTAGTTGAGGGAGGAACTTCAAAATTTTCATGTTTGAGGACAGCTAGATATATACACATAGGAAATGTAAGCTTGCGTTGGTATTTGGTATTGTACACGGGTGTATTATTCGATTGGTAAGTATTCTCAAGGTATCCTTGAGGTATTGTGGCTTTCGTACTATCCCCCAGAACTCCATTTAGGCATGAAAATCGATACAAATGGCATTTGTGAATGCTCTTATGTATTCTTATGCTTCAGGTTGCTGCTCATTATGCCAATCCTGTCAAGGACTATGTCTTACATCATAAAATCTCAAAATGAGATTTTCGCAATCTTTCAGTAATCTTGAACTGTCCAGAAACCAGAAAAATGAATGTAAACTCGCAAAACTGATGATCATCTGTAGCCACGGCTTCTATCGTTTCCTCGTGCGCCGTTCCAGTTATTGCCATTACGGCTGATGTTGTTGTTACTGTTACGACCTCCCACAAGGTTGTCGCTATAAAGCCCTTGACTTCTACCGTTGTTGTTATGCCTACCCTCATCCTGATCGTCGGTGTCCATGCGATCGTCGAAACCGTGGGAACCATCGATAACATCATCGCGAGAGCTTCGTGAGCTGTCTGAGGTTCGGTATCGTGAATCATGATTGTCGCTACCGGAACTGCGATCGAAACGACCCGCCTTTGGACCCGTAGGAACGATCGATCGAGGTACGGAACGTTGGTTGGCAAGTTTGGGCGTTTGCGCAAGAGCTGCAGACTTGTGATAAACGTACAACAAGTTTCCATCCGCCTTTTATAATTTCGTTAGTAAGGCCATAAACTTATTATATCCTGTCTATACATACCTCTTGATTGTTGAAGGTCTCGATAACATTGTCAGCTCCATCTTTAGAATCAAAGATAATCTCTGCAATGACCTTTGGGTAATCTGAGAGGAGGCGACAGCTCAAAGGAGCTCCACCAACTGGCGCCATCGCACTCTCGATGTCTTGTGCCGAAGTGCCTTGCGCGAAATTCTCCGCCAATACAATATATGGTCCTGCGAGTCCCTTGATGGACAAACTTCCAGTGGGCGCCTTCGACTTTCCAACGATATTATATTGAGCATTCAAGTTCGGTGTCGATGCAGAGCCATTGAAAGCTTTCGCAAGTCGATCGTTGCGCGTGCGCGTATTGATATCTCTTGGGCCACGAGGAGGGATTTGAGAGCCTCGAGAAGCGCCTGGATTGTTTAAAGGGTGGAGATCGTGCGTCCATTCCGCATCAACGTTTCCGACAGCCGGTTTGGAATTCTGTTTAGGTGCAGGTTTGAACACAGCCGCGCCGCGCTATAACTTGTTAGATGCGCAAATTCGTAGACACCTGTCTGCGATCTTCATACCTTTCCAACGCCCATTCTACTGGCAAGTGAAGGACCAGTCCCTGGCTTGCGATTATTTGTTACTCCTGGCGCACTTGCCCGACGGTTCTTGCTCAAGAATTTATTTGCCAGAAGCTCATCCTTACGACGCTCACGTCCTAACAAAATGTCAGCCGTTTGCAATCTATTATATATACCAGTAAATGATATCCAGGTCAAGATTGCCTACCTTTGTTGATGAATCCATTAAAATCGGGAAAGTCATTTTTGGTTGCCATAGTGCTAATAAGCTGCAGCGACCTACTGTTAGTTGAAGAAAGGTTAATAAACTTGCAGAAGTCCTCGTGAAACAATATTCCAAAAACGAGGATGAATAACGATAGAAATATATTATTAGTATATCTCTTTGTTGAAGACACAAATGATGTGGATGGCCGAGGAAAGGAGGTGGTGGGAGGGATGAATCAACAAATGGGTAAACCAAATATTATTAAGGTCAGATCGCGAAGGTTTTATTAATCGCGGTCAAGTGAATATGGGAAGTAATAAGGCAAAGCGGGCGGTGCGGCCGCTCTGACATTTTATTGGGTATTCGAGTATATAATACAACGATATTCCCGTAATATCAGTACCTCTTTCTCTTTTATACACCTTAGATATGGGTTAAGATCATTCATTACAGATCTAACAATGAGAGAGTAGGTATGATACAGTTGGATTAATCATGATATTAGATCTTGGGAATGCTACTTACTACCTACTTCCTATTTCCTATTGTCTCCCCTTCCTATATCAAGAAGGCGAGACTGATGATAATTGTGATATTGTGAGGTAATACTAGGTAGGTACGAATGGTAGGTCTTTCTGTTTCTAATGGTAGGAGTGTTTCTTTTACTTAAGTCTCGTTTCTATTTCAATCCTAATCAATAAAAAAATCAAGACCGCTTACGTGGTGAGTTTTTGGGAGATTTTTGGGAGATTTTTGGTTAAAGTAAGTGGAATTGAAGGTTAAAGGTTCTATCTTTACACTTCTCGACCTACTTATGATCCATATACGAGTATTATTGAGGTTTAACTCTGTAGCTGATAAAATACAAGGCAAAACCTGAAACCGAAAGACAAATCAACATGGCTTCCATATCATTCCGAACTCCCGAGAAGTCGAACGATGAGAACAAACCTCTTCCTCGAACTCCTCGAACGCCCAGCTCACATAAGCTTCAAGATTTGGGACGGACATCTTCCCAAAAGAAAGCTCGACAGATTTTTGATAGTCTAAGAAGCTTAAAGTCACGCGGAAAAGCCAGCAGTGATGCAGAAGACGAGAGTGCCCAGTCTGCTGGCGCCGGCAGTCCCATTCGCCGCAAAAACTCAACGTGGGACCTCTTTGGTACCATTCGATCCAAGAAATCTGGTGAATTTGGTGTTCATGAAAAGGAAAGACCTCTCACCACAACACCTTTGAGACCAGGACTGGAAATCGGTATGTAATGACGGGCTTAGTACGTCTGAAATGGCCTAATGATGTTGTTACAGGTGACGCTCCAGAGCTCCTTCCAAGAAGGCGAAAAAGTCTTGTTAACATGCTCGGATCGATCTCCACTAAGGTATCCTCTAGACGAAATACAAACTTACGAGAGGTCCCACTCAATGGAGAAAGATTGCCAGATTATTGCGAAGAGGATATATTTGCCGAGAGATTAGCAAAAGAGTTGGCACATTTAAAGGTCGATTCCCCAATTCCTGCACATACATCAACATCGATTAGACAATCAAGATTTCCAAATGAAAGGTTAGGAGGAGCGAACGCTTTAGGAGCCGATCACAATGGCATAATTGAAAGTAAGTGCATCGCTATAGATTGTGTGATGCAACCCAAGGCATTTCTGACAACTCTTCAAGATTTCAAAATCCGACAACTCGATGACCTCCTCAATGATCGAGATGGATATGACGCAAAGAGCTGTGAGTTTTCCTCTCCTGGGATGTTTTGAGATACTAGTATCTAACAAATGAGCCACAGGGACAAGTAAAGCACAGACACTACAGAATGAAGAGTCAGATGAACAAGTGGCGAGTCAGACACCGACAACAGACGAAGACGGATCGAAGACGCCCGACTCCTACCTTCGCTCAATGATCAAGTCCTTCGACGACTACAACAGTGAACCAACAGTTCTCAAAAGCAAAGGAGCGAATGTTTCCGCGTCACCATCCCCTGACAAGCTAGCGCCAACGAAACCCGTTGATTTCCTCAAAGATTTGAGTCCAGATGTGATCCCAAGGTAACGAACGATTCGTTCTATATTGCAAGCCATAACTAACGTCGATTCAAAGTAATCAATCCATAGAAACCACTTCATCACTCGTTTTCCATACTGATAAGCCCGAAAGATTCGAGAGAATATACCGCGAGGAGAAACAACCGATGATCACGATTCGAGAAGTAACATCTGAATCCGATTCTAGCTTGGTATATGAAGATCCAATTGCTCCCTCACCACCAACGTGGCAAGATGCAGCAAAATCTAGGACTGCGACACTGGAAAGCAGAGGCAGACTTCCTGATCGCAATTATGCACGCTATATTCAAGAATTTGACCCTCTTTTTATCAGTCAAACTGCAGAGCGAAGAGATTACTGTCGAGGCTTAGAGGTAATTCCCTCCAACATCGAAGATTCGGACCAGCAGAGAATTGCTCGCAGTATCAAGCAGACCGTAGACAAAATGACCAAGAACCTGTACCTTTCGTCCTTCTCGGAAGAGACCACAGAAGAGCGGGACGAGGAGCTTCAGGAGGAAAGTTATCCAAGTGAACTTGAGTATAAATATAGCCTCGGCTCTGACGATTTGTGGAAGACCGTTGAGAGTATTTCTGCTAATTCGCTAGGGGAAACATCAGCCGTTACAGTGATACGCAACAACATAAGCTCATTCAAGAACATAGAGTTTTGGGAAGGGCCTATGTATGTCAGGTATCCTCAATCAGGGGCAAAATGGCGTCACGTGGTATACTTTCCAACAGGAAGCCTTGCACTTTTGGACATTCGCAAGCAAAACAAAGGCGAATATTCGGATACGATAACATACTGCCCAGAGGAATCTTGCATTTACGTTCATCTATGGGGAAAACTTCCTGAACCAGAGTCAGACCTCAGTGTTCGCGTTAGATACCCAGAGACAGAGACTCGATGGGCACGAACACAGATATACGACAGTGGCGATCTCGCAATGGCTGATATGAACCAACAGAACCTTGGCGAGTTTTCAGAAATCAGATACGATGCTTCTGAACGCGTCTTTCATGTTTACACCTGGGGTGATGTTATTGAAGCATCTCATGGTAGTGTTCACGTTGACTACCCAGAAGCGAATACTCGATCGGCTCGAACACAGATTTTCCGCAACAAGGATCTCGCAATGGCAGATATGTGTCTACAAAGCCGTGGAGAGTTTGCAGAAGTCAGATACGATGCTTCCAAGCGCCGTTATCGTGCTTTTGCATGGGGTGACGTTATCGATACACCCGACAGTTATGTCCGCGTGGATTTCCCGGAACCAGAGATAGAGCGGGATGTTCGTGTCGACTACCCAGAAGCAAATACTAGATGGGCTCGAACACAAATGTACGAAAATGATGAACTGGCAAAGGCTGATATGCGTCTACAAAGCCGTGGAGAGTTTTCAGAAGTCAGATACAATGCTTCCAAGCACTGTTTTCGTGCTTTTGCATGGGGTGATATCATCGATTCATCCGATGATTATATCCATATAGATTTCTTAGAACCAGAGATAGAGCGGAATGTTCGTGTTGACTATCCAGAAACAAAGACTAGATGGGCTCGAACACAGATGTACGAAACTGAAGATCTGGCAAAGGCTGACATTTCAAGATTAAACAATGGCGAGTATTCCAATTTTGTTTACAGTTCTCCCGAACGAAGATTCCGTGTCGAAGCTCAGCCAAAAGTTCTTGGGTCTATTTACAGGACGCGCGAGCGCGTATGGAAACCGACGCTCTCGCCACTTGGTGATCGAGACGAGAACGAGCAAGATCTGCCAGACTTTTCCGATTTAGAGAAGGACTTTCAACTTGTGGCCACGGAATGGCTTCGAAGCTCTTCACCCGGAATACAATCACAGGAGGGAGCGGAAGAACTACTTGGTGATGATAGTGCAGGTAGCAATGACATGAGTCTCTGCGTGGAAGCTGGAACTCCTCGCAAGTCCAATGAAGAGCTTGTTGCCGAATTATACATGGGAAACCACTCTGATCAAACGACGCCACTTTTGAGAGGCTCCAAGCAAATTCTCCAATATTTGGATAGCCTCAATGGCAAACATCCGACCAGCAAGATACTACATGCTAAAAATGATTTCCAGTTGAATCGCAGGACTGCAACAAAAGCCTGGGCCGAGTCCGAAGATGATGATAGAGAATCTCGATCGATCGAAAAAGCTGCTCAAGGTGCTCGAGATATGACAAACGACCATTTTGCCCAAATCTCTCGCAGCATACTGCTTGACGATTATTCGGACGATGGAACTACATCCCTAGGGATCGAAATTGTCGAGGAAAATAGCAGAGAGAATTCAGACCAATCCTTCACACAAGGCTTTGAATATTCACAATTTGCTGATACATTCGACGAGGGCAAAAATTACGGGATCTCAATCCAAATGGATGAAGTTTCAGAAGATGAAGAGGGCATGGCCTCGAATCCGGCGAATGCGAACGAAAATTTTATCTTCGACTTCGGCAGGGATATGGCGCACCGGAGAGAGCGTTCGAATGCAATAAGTGGAGAAGTCCCTCCGGTGATTTTGTCGTCGGACAAATCGAATGAAAATATATACATTGTTCCAATTGACAACAATGATTTGTACGAAGAGAATGCGGGTTGCGGCGATCCGGAATTACCGCCTTCCAGCGACACGGACTTGACAGGTGATGCTTTGACGAATTACAAGATAGATACTCATCTTTATAGTATGAATTTGACCAAGTCAGAGTTTGAAGGGAAGGAAGAGCAATCCGTTTATAGGCCAGGCCTTTGGGCGGGTACTTGTGCAAAAGTTCAAGATACACGTAACGCATCCGCATGTACGGCATCCTCTGTGTACAGTCAGCCAGGTCTTGAGTTCTCGTCTATGTCAGCAACCAACACGGAGAAAGCCCAGTCATCTGAGATCCAGGGTGAGAGACAGAAGGATTCTTTCACAGGAAATAATCCCAATATCGAGGATGGCGCTTTTCGTGTAGAAACAGTGTCACAAGAATACATAGACTATGAGATTCATCCGCTAGCTACCACAAGAGCCAGCCCACAGCGAGCTGCCATCAAGGCGAATACCTTCCATACTCGAAATATGATGTTCCCAGCCTCAACCAATCCATTTTTGAATCGACCTTCTTCTCCACACTCGCCATTTCAACCCATAGCGAGCTCTAAGCGGGCACAACCACATACTCAGGGCCCGAGAATCGTTACTCCGTCGGGTAAAGTATATAGTCCGGCCAAGGAAGAACATAAGGTCTCGAATCCTATTCAGAGGATTCAGACACCGGGACATTCTCGGAGTGAGCAGAGGAGTGGGAATTTGAGTAGGGATCTGAATAGGGATCTGAGTGGTGACGAAACGGAATTTAGTGAGGATTTTGGGGAGGAGCTGGAACCGATGGGGAAGGGAAGGTATGCTGTGAGAAGTGCTCGTGGAGATGGTTCGGTCTCGTCGGTTTCGGTGGATGAGGCGTTTTGAGAGTGGTTAATCGAGGGGCTGCCCGTATCGTTGAGTGGGTGGGATGAGTGAGAGTAGAGTAGAGTTATTGGTGTTGAGTGAAGGGAGTATCGCTTAAAAAGAGGGCATGGCAGTACGGCGAAAAAGGATATTGGTAAGGTGCGGCAGCAAAAACATAACACATCGACATCACCGTTAGAACACATGTCAATATTGTTATATTGAAGGTATTCATTTCTCGATGGGATCAGGTCACATCAGACATAAATTAGATAGTCTCCCGAAATTGTCATTATACGACTTAATCCATAATAAAGACAAAGTCGATTGAACAATTTCTTATATTTGCTTCGCGTTTGATTGTGAAGTGGATGAGTTGATTGATTGCTGTGTATAAATGGGTATATTGTGATTTATTTGTGTATTATTATACATGTTGAGTGTTCTTTTCATTGAAGGTAATAGTAATGTACGAGTACAATATGCAATGTTATGTTCATGTCAGTGAACATTTGATGCGCCGTGCAGTGATACATATATACATGTATCGCAACAACTGCGATTAGAAACTGGAAGTAGGTGTCACCGTGTTCGGCTTTCTATTCGCAAACGATGCTGGAGCCCCAGTGTTTGACTTCCTACTCGCAAAAGGTTGGACGCGAGCTACATATCCTTGGGTAGCGGCCAACGGCGCAAAACCCCCCTTGACCGCCGTCCGGAATTGCTTCTTGGAGAATTCGTGGGTGCTGCGATCGACGTGTTCATGTTTAGGGGTTGGTTCTGGTTCTTCGTCTTCTGGTTCGTGCTCGTATTGGTAGCCTTTGGTGTACTTTCTGGTTCCCGCGTGGGGGGCAGTGACGCGAGCTTCGTAGGCTGTTAGTTTATTGCGGCGAGCGATGACGTCTCCGTAGGCGTCGCGGGCGACGAGGCCTTTGTCCATGAGGACGTCGTAGGCGCCTATGATACGGCGGATGAGCACGAGGACGCTATCTTTGAAATCACGGTCTTGGAAGCGGTCGTAGTCGGTGGCGGTGGGGTTGCCGTACATGACTAGGGCGCGGATGTTGAGGTAGGATGGACCGACACGGTCGAGGGCGCGGAGGATTTGTTTGCCCTGTTCGAATTTGGTGGGTCTGTTGCCTGATGCTTTTCGGGTGAGGGAGGAGGACATGGAGACGTCCATGTAGGTGACTAAGGCTATGATGTCGGGGACTTCGAGGTTCATTTGCATGATGTCGAGGATTTTGCCTGCGGTGGCAAAGACGTTGGGGTTATTCTTGTCGCGCTCGCAGGTGCTCATGGCAAGGCGGAAAAATTCATGTTTCAAGGATTCTTTGGGTATTTCCAATAAGAGTTCCAGGACCTCGCGACTCGATCGGCAGAGTCGGAGAATTCTCATGTATCTATGGTAGTTATCTTGATCGGGTACAATGCCCCTTTCTTTTACGAAAATATTCCAATATTTAGTTGCAGGTTCCTTTTTGCCCAGGTTTAATAATGCCTTGAGTATCATCGATATTGTGTTCGGCCCCGGTGTAGCAAAAACATGCGATCTAGGTAGTGAAGCCACTGCAGGTCCGGAGCTGGCAAATATATCTTCGAGCTGACCTCTCGGATTGAGACCACCGCCATCTTCCACTTCGACTAATCCTTTCTTATCTTCAGATATAGATTGTCCTTGAAGGGATGGCTCAATTTGCTGCCGAGACTTAGTACCTCGCCGAGGCATTTGGCGTCGCACGTTCATAGTCTGCTCAACGAGAGATAGAATGTCATCATTGTCTTCTTCAGAACCATGAAGCAATGTCCGGCCCATAGCACAGACAAGCTCTTCATCAACCATGATATCTCCTTTGCGCCAACGCATGAAGATATCCCCCCACATTCGATGCGCACTATCTATCGTTTTACGTTTGAGTTTTAAGAGTTCCTTTTCAGGCATATTGGTATTACCAAGGAGTTTCATACGAAAAGCGTTTAATATCGTGGTGAAAGTAAGGTTATCTGGTGCGCGGGCACCTTCGGCAGGCATTTGTGCAGCGATTCCAAGCAAAGCTTCTTCTTCACCCGCCCTTGAACAAAGTCGAAGGACTGCATTCATGTGAATAGTATTCGGCTTTAGTCGAGAGCCAACAGAGAGCATAGAAGTATATATTGCTAAACCCTTCTCGAAGGCTTGTTTAGTATATGGGCTATCGCTGCAGCCTTTGAAAATAATAGTATAGGTCTGGGCATCTGGATACTGCGCACGTTTTTTCATCTGAGATTATATGGTTAACAAAACTCCCATGGGATATGCAATTTGAACAAACCTCATTGTATGTTTTGAGTGCGGGGGTCAACTGGTCTTTACTGAACTGCCACTCAATCAAATGATTCCAACTAACAACACATTCAACATTTTTGCTGGCAGCTCGCACATATAGTAATGCCTTTTCGAAATCATCGTCCGAAAGAAGTTTCCGTACGTAGCTGGCGAGCTGCAAGGGATCTTGCAGTTGTTTCAGCTTCCAAATAAACTTGTCGTCGATATTTGGATCAATTGGTGCAGGCTTTTTATCCGCAGGCCTCTGTCCCCTCGAATCTAGCCATTCCTGTCTTTTGACACCTTTACTCTTAGTGGGCTCGAGAGACTCTTCATCTAGTGAGATGGGTTGGTAACTTTGATTGCCAGAATCAGTCGCATTCGAGGCAAATGACCTATAGAGCTGTCTCTGCGGAATTATAAGTTGCGCACTTTTAGTATGAATCGCTGAGTCTCCGATCAGTGCTTGTAGGCACCTCCTTGTGCATGCTCTGCATGTAAACATTATTTTGTCTGATAAAGCTCGAATTGCCCTCCAGCCTTTCGCCCTTCTGATACTTTTTTGTGCCGGGAGCGGAGCGGCCTATGAATAATCCGAATGCGTTAGTCAGCAAGTTTTATAGTTTTATAGTTTTACAAGGGTTCGCGCTACTACCACTTTTCGCGTTATCAAATCGCGTCCGAAATTCCCCTTCCTCAACTTCGCGTATCAATCCATCAATCCTCCACTTTACAATATCAAATCCCATAGATAACTTGTACATACTAACTACACATACACATACAATCCTGCGGAAGAGGCTCCAATTCCTGTACTTTTCTTTCAAAATAGTACATTCTTCTTCTCCTTTTAATACTTTTTTTTTATGTTATAGTCAATCAGAAACCCCCATATCAGCGTCTGTCTAAACCATCCACATCTATTCATAATGTCGAAAGCTGCTTCAGCACGAGCGAAATTCGCAGAACTTCGTGCTCTTCGAGAGTCTGGAAAGAAACGTCTCGACACTTACGAATTACACAAAGAAGAAGATTTATATGAGGAGGTCGACGAAGAAGGTTATAAAAAGGTCGTAAGGAATCGTTTAAATCAAGATGATTTCGTTATCGACGACAACGGTGAAGGATACGCAGACGATGGCCGCGAAGATTGGGATCGAGATCATAGACAAGGATATGGCACTGAGAGTGAAGAAGAGCTCCCTGTTAAGAGCAAGAATGGAAAGGCTGGTAAGTTATCGAGGTCTGTATACCTGATGGCATACCTGACAATCTCATAGCAAAGAGGAAACGTGAAGAGGAGAAAGCCAAAAAGGAGAGTATGGATAAAGGCATCAGCAACTATTTCACCAAAGGACCGGCAGCTGCTCAACAAAAACCAAAGGTAACCGCAGTTCGCCTGATCTGTTTACAAATCGCTAACTGTCGCAGCCCGTCAAAACCAAAGCAGATGAAGATTTCTTAGAGGGTCTATTAGGGCAGGTAGACACGAATGTTCCTCGAGCAAAAGCCCAGCCTTCAAGAGCCAATAGAACACAGGACAAGAGGAGGACGAGAGCCTTATCTCCATCACTAAACGATTCCCGGCATACGTCAAAAAGAACCAAGGTAGCGGATAGTCGATCCGCTAATGCTACAACTACACCCTCGAGCCCCCCTGTTTATGCGGGCGACGATGATGATTTCATGGCAGGAATCGATGATGATGACATGATGATGGATGAACCGCAACCTTCATCTCCTGTGGCGAAAGCTGTCGAGAGAAGATTGCATATCAGTGTCAAAGGAGAGGATGAGGATGATGATATGATGGAGGTTGCTCAAGCCGATGGCATCACAGCTACAAGCGTCAATATTTCCGGAACTAGGCCCCCGTCCAAGCTGAAAAAAGAGGTATATCCAATACCAGCAACCTCATCTCCACCCCGCGGTCCAGTTGATGATGTTGATGCGTCATCTTGGAATGACGTTACGCAAAGATTAAACGTTATGAACAGCAGCCAACCTTCAGAAACAATGTCTTTCGGGAAGCTCGACTATCACGACGCAATCGAAGAAGATGGAAGCCTTCACATGTTCTGGACTGATTACACTGAAATTAATGGCAGTTTATGTCTTTTTGGCAAAGTGAAGAACAAGAAGACAGATACTTTTGTTAGTTGTTTTGTCAAGGTCGATAACATCCTGAGAAAACTCTTCTTCCTTCCTCGACAGTATTGTCAACGCCACGGTCGAGACACGACAGACGAAGTGGATATGAAGGATGTATACGAAGAGGTTGACGATATAATGACTAGAATGAACGTTGGAATACACAAAATCAAACCCTGCACTAGAAAATATGCTTTCGAGTTGCCAGATATACCAAAGGAGGGCGAATACTTGAAGTTGTTATATCCTTACTCCAGTAAGTGTGAAATAATGATATTCAGCTCCTGGACTGACCACTTTAGAACCTGCATTACACGCCGATCAGCACACCGGCTCGACTTTCTCCCACGTCTTTGGATCAAATACTCCCCTTTTTGAACAATTTGTTCTCTGGAAGAACATCATGGGTCCATGCTGGTTGAAAATCGAAGATGCAGATTTTGGAGCTCTTAAGAATGCTTCTCACTGCAAATTAGAAGTTCAGGTTCCAAAGCCAAGCCTCATTACTCCCATCAGCGAGTCTGATAACCTCGAAGCTCCGCCTTTGACTTTGATGAGCATTGCCTTACGCACTGTCTTCAATATAAAGGAAAATAAACAAGAAATACTCGCAATCAGTGCACGCATCTATCAAAATGTTTCGCTGACCGACACTACTCCACCAGAAAAGCTGCCTTGCCAAACTTTCACTGTCATGCGACCGAACGGATCACACTTCCCCATCGGATTCGAGGGAATAGTCAAACAACGTTCGATAGGACTTGTCAAGCTGGCCAAGCAGGAGAATGAGATTCTGAGCTTTTTCCTTGCCCGTCTAGATTTAGTTGATCCCGATGTTCTCGTTGGTCATCAACTGGAAGGTGTTGATTTCAGCATTTTGCTAAGTCGCTTTCAGGCCAGAAAGACCCCACAGTGGTCACGTATCGGTCGTATGAGGCGGACTCAATGGCCCGGCTCCATGGGCAAAATGGGGGGAAACTTTTTTGCAGAGCGCTCGCTAATGTCAGGTCGTCTCATGTGTGACTTAGCCAACGACATGGGCAAATCGACCATGACGAAATGTACATCTTGGACCCTCACGGAAATGTGCAGCCTTTACCTGTCGGGTACTAACCGTCGAGAAATCGACAACGAGGCTGCTTTGAAGACTTGGGCTACTAACAAGGATGGATTGATGGACTATGTCAGCCATTGCGAAGCGGATACGTACTTCATTGCGGCTCTTGCCTTGAAGGTTCAGATGCTTCCTTTGACCAAAGTTCTCACTAACTTGGCTGGAAACTCTTGGGCAAGGACACTTACTGGTACTCGAGCCGAACGTAATGAATACATTTTGTTACATGAGTTCCATCGCAATAAGTACATCTGTCCCGACAAAGCTGTTTTCAAGGGTAGGCAGCAAGTCGACGAAGAAAACGTTGACGAAGAAAGCGGAGATGTGAAGAAGAAGGATAAGTACAAGGGAGGTCTGGTATTTGAGCCCGAGAAAGGTTTATACGACAAATTCGTACTTGTCATGGATTTCAATTCTCTGTACCCCAGTATCATTCAGGAATTCAATATCTGTTTCACGACAGTTGATAGGCTAAATTTGGTATGCTCCCACCCTTCCCGTGAATAGTAGCATCATGCTAACATGTATAGTCTGATGACGAGGATCGAGTGCCAGAAGTACCAACAGGTCAGGACCAAGGTATCCTGCCCAAGCTCATTGCCACACTTGTCAGTCGACGTCGGCAAGTCAAGAGTCTCATGAAAGACAAACATGCCACCCCGGAAGAGTTGGCCACTTGGGAAATTAAGCAATTGGCACTTAAACTCACTGCCAACTCTATGTACGGTTGTTTGGGATATACGAAATCAAGGTTTTATGCTCGACCACTTGCCGTTCTCACAACATACAAAGGCCGTGAGATTCTTCGAAGTACTAAAGATCTGGCCGAGAGCAAATCTTTACAAGTCATCTATGGTGATACGGATTCCGTCATGATCAACGCCAACGTCGATAATATTCAAGATGCACTTGTTGTTGGAAACGACTTCAAAAGATCTGTCAATGACCGATATAAGTTACTGGAAATTGACATCGATAATGTGTTCAGACGTATTTTACTTCAAGCAAAGAAGAAATATGCTGCCATCAACCTTGTACAAGTCGATGGGAAATATATTGATAAGATGGAAGTCAAAGGTCTGGATATGAAGCGTCGTGAATACTGTAATCTGTCAAAGGAGGTTTCATCTCAACTTTTGAACGAAATTCTGTCTGGCGATGACGCAGAAGCTGTCATTACTCGAATTCACGAATACCTCCGCGAAATATCGGCCAAAATGAGAGAAGGGAATGTTCCCGTCCAAAAGTATACGATTTACACGAAACTCGGAAAAGCGCCTAAAGATTATCCCAATGCTGATAACATGCCGCAAGTCCAGGTCGCTTTGCGAGAATTAGCCAAGGGAAAACAAGTTCGAAAGGATGATGTTATCGCCTACATAGTGACAGGCGAAGGGAAAACTTCTGAGAATGCAGCTAAACGTTCATTCACTCCTCAGGATGTGACGAAGCGTGATTCGGATCTCAAGCCAGACGTAGAATGGTACCTCTACAAACAGATTTTCCCACCCGTCGAGCGATTGTGTGCAAACATTTCCGGGACCGATACCGTACGTCTGGCTGATTGTCTCGGACTCGATGCACGTAAATATAGCATCAACAACACCAACTCATCAGGCAGTAACGAAGCAGAGATTCATCCACTCGAAAGTCAGATTGACGATTCTGTGCGCTTCAAAGATTCTAGTCGCCTCACCCTCCGCTGTCGATCCTGTAAAGCTACTTTCGGATTTGAAGGTCTCCTCAACAGTACGGAAAACTGCTCTCCATCCGGCATCATCTGTCGCTGTAGTGCCATCCTCTCAATACTTTCCATCATGACACAACTCGAACATCAAATCCGCCAAGAAACATGTAAATACTACGAAGGCTGGCTTGTATGTGATGATCAAGCATGTGGTAACCGCACGAGACAAATGAGTGTTTATGGACATAGATGTTTGGGACCAAAGGGATTGGCTCAAGGATGTCTGGGGAGAATGAGATACGAATACACGGAAAAAATGATGTATAATCAGTTATTATATTTTTCCAGTTTGTTCGATGTGGATAAGGCGAAGGGTAATGCGAGGGGTACGGACAAAGGTAAGATTTCTACTCTTGTTTTCTTTGGAGGCTTGTGTGACAGAAACTAATATAACAGTAGAACTTGTCTCAGCACTAGCAGAACATAACCGAGTTCGTTTCGACATGCTGAAAAATGTGGTGGCGAAATATCTAGATAAGTGTGGTAGGCAGTGGGTTGCGATGGATAGTCTTTTTGGGAAATTGGGCTTCTCGGCGATGTGATTTGGGTGGGTGTGGGTGCATGATGGAGGTATAAGATAGGGTAATGATTGAATGGATGCATGGGAGTTGGACATTGGGTATTGGGTATAGTACCGTGGTTTGGTACGGAGTGGATGGCGTTTGTAGTCATAAAGATGTAAACGAAACTTTCCAGATATATCGCTCGACTCCTACGAGTAAAGGGAGAATACCCGAAATCAAGATGTTTGTTTGTTCCCCAGAAGAAAGGGAGATCAGAGACTATTGGATTGGGATCGTGAAGATTAGATACATGCCCATATTATTTGGTTCCGATTGCTATGCTTTATCTCTTGCTGTGCATATCTTTACAACAGATACATTGAAAGAAACAGGAGAGAATTATAGGGTTTTCGTAGGGGTTGTGGGTGTGGGTTTGGGTTTGGGTGTTATGGCATACTGGTACTCGAGTATTGGAAGTTGGAATTTGGAATTTGGAAGATTTTAAAATGATGGGGATATGGATGGGGATGGGGATTTGGATGTGGTAATACCGGTAGCTATTACTCGAGTATATAAAGACGACAGAATTTTATATTCTGTATAAATAAAGCACATGAGATAATATGGTTGTGGAAGGAACTTCGAAGAAATAGGTGGGTGGGTGATGTTTTGAATATTTAGATGGGGTTTGGATATTGTAAGTTTATTATAAAGATCTTTTCTACTCAGTACTGTGATAAAGGAATTGTGAGGTATTTTGGTTAAAGGGGCTAGGTGCTAGGTGTTGTTGTTTGTAGATATGGAAGAATGACAAAGGATGTGTTATCTAATCTGTATATGTGTTATTGAGTCTACTACCCGAGTATCATCTATTGATAATAAAAAATAATTCCGACAACGAGAGATGCGTATTGAAAATTGATACGGTCGCATAATTCAGGCATAATTTCTACGGTTGCATAATTATTGTATTAATTTCTACGGTCACATGATTCTTGTGTGCTACTAATGGAGAGAAGAACCAAATTTCCAACTCCCTAACTTGAACTTCCTACTTTCTAGACAAATCCTATTGTATTGGAGAATGAATAGTACTAATAGAAAAAAAAAAGAGAGAGCTATTAGGCAGAGTACCATATCTAGACTACTGAGTATATTAGATCATATCATATCACATCCAATATAGTCTACCCACCAACTTATACTCGTATGTATATAAACCCAAAATAACTACCCAAACCCCCCTCAATATCCAGCAATTCATAAAACCGAACTCTCTTCATCTCCATCGTAGTAAAGTGATCAGCATCGAGATTTCAAGTACCGGTAGATGGAGTGTTCCCATATCTCCTAGTTTTTGATCTTTGATTGATATGAACTTTCCCGAGGAAATTCTGTTAGATGATTTCTTTGTCGTTATTTGTTACGCTATTGTATGGTTGTCGAACGTGTGTGTATATATATACATACATACATATAATCGAGTACAGAAACAACCAAGATAGAAATAGCATAGCAACAAGCCATTATTCGAAAATTATAACAACAATAGTAATAATAATAAAACCCTCACTCACAGAAACATCCTCTAAGTTCTTCTACTGCATGTTTTAGTTTTAGTTTCTAAACTTTTCTCTTTTCCAAATTATACACCGGTACTTCATGAACCCAGTATCGACATCTACCCCCCTTATTCATCTTCTGAGTCTTTCCGTATCCTTTGCTATAATACTCAAGTGTTGGAAATCATCAGCACTTGCTGCATCATTTACCACTTTTAAACTCTTATACTCCTATCCTCCTAACCTCCTAACCTCCTCCTTCATAAAAAAGCATACCCCATCAAACTATGGAACTATGGAATCTGCTAATACCCCTTACCCCTCCTTCTCCCTTACCTTCCTTACCCTTCCTCATCAATAATCAACAATCAATCCGTCATAAAATATCCTCAAGGAATAACTAAGATACTCTACCACGAAACAAAACCCATCTGATATACGGAATGCAAGTTATATATACGGAAAGTGAATATAGATATCGACTCTCTAGTTCCTGATTAAGACATAGTACTCGAGTATATATAATATGATATCTCAGCACTATCTACTCATAAGAGGATAGGATAGGATAGATAGCAAATACTCAGTAGAATTTTCTAGGTCTGTTTCTAGATTAATTCTAAGTTCAATCTAGCATATCGTTGAGCGTAGAGCGCGTGTACGAGTATAGAGTATAGGTATATGTATTAAATTAATCAAATGAAATCAAAAACAAAACACATCATATCAAATAATCCTCAAAAACGACAAAAACAATAATATAACATGTAATAAGTAACAATAGTAGAGAGATCATGAAACAACTACCTACTAGGTATGTACTAGTACTCGTATATATGACAATTATTCCATGTGGAGGGAGAATGAAAGTTCCCAAACGGAGATCTAAATTTGACTTCTTGATGGGCAAGCAAGCAAGCACTTGCTATCTCCTCGCCCCTGAACGTTGCCGTTTTGCCCTGGTTTGAGGAAAGATGGGGGAGGGTGGAAAGGATGTGGGTATGGCAGGTGTATCTAGTATATTATAGTGGAAGAGTGGAGGAGAGAGTGGAAGAAAGAAAGAGTGAACGAAAGAAAATGGTCAATGAATGAAATGGAAAGATTTTCGAAAATACGCGCGTGATGATATAGATATGTTTCAAGTAGAGTAAAAGAAAGGAAAAGTAGCAAACACTCGTAGAGAGTAAGAGAGTAACACAATTAGTTAAATATTTCAGAATACCATCCATTGCTCCATCCATTCCATTCCATACCATGCTATATTAAAGTTAAAGAATCAACTCCATGTCCATGCACCACCACCACCAGCACTCGATAAAATATGTCCAATCCCAATCCCTAACACCATACTATACCATACCATACCATACCATCTAAGACAAGACTCCATGCTATGCTATGCATCAAAAACCCACGTCCAGCGTCCAGCGTCCAATATGTACAGACCAATTCCCCCCAAAATACACATTTCAATCCTTTCCATCAAACAATCACTATCTGCCCGATCTCGGTCCACTGGGTAAACCGGGTCTTCTTCCCGCCCCAGGACCGCCACTCGGCAACCCCACCGCCCTCCTCTGCACTGGCGGTTCATAGCCACCTCCCCCAAACTCCGCCTCATTGCTAGCCCACGGACTCGTAGCCGACATAAACGGTTTCTCCCCCGTATTCTGCGCTGCACCTCTATTCTCATACCCCGAATCCGCACTCGCATCACCGCCCATACCCCCCGTATTTGTCGTCATAGCGCTAGACTTCGATCTCCCCATCTTCAACCTATCTCTCGCCGACAGAGTGCCCATTGGCGGCGCACCTCCCTGATTCGCAAACGGGCTTTGGGATCTCGCGGTCGGACCGCCGGTTCCCCTAGCCGCGCGCAGACTTCCTGTTCCTGGAGGTGGACTTGGCGCATTGGTTCTTCCTGTTGCTCCGCCGAAAAGACTATTGAGACCCTGTGATCCGCCTGCTGCAGTAGGTGCTTGTCCGTATGTAGAGCCGACAGCTTGCGTGTAAACGGGTTGGACGGTAGGAGTAGGGGGTGGACCGCGTGGGTCGGGGGGAAGCCACGCTGGCAGATTTTGTTTCTTTTCTTGCAGATAGTAGGTGCGCATTACGCGGCAGAGATAGGTGTCGTCTTCGGTGTCGCCATCGGCTTCGCCTTGAAAGATGTTTTGTCGGATTGAGGTGACTTTGGAGGTAATGGAACTGAAGTAGGAGGAGTACATTGTGGGTGGGTGTTTGTGAAACGTTGTGAGATGTGCCAGTGGTTATTATGATGACGTGAGTCGCAATTGAGGTTGGTTTGTATTCCCTAATTCGCCGTCGATCAATTTTGGAGAGATCTTATTTTGAATCCGAAGGTATCGCCAGTCTTGTATTTATTGTGATTTATGGAAAGGTGTCGGGAGACTTTTGTGAAGTCATTAATTTATGGAGAGCGAGTGCTCAAGTTGAAACTTGTTTCGCCGCAGAGAGATCCGACCCCACCAAATATGAGACTAAGGAGACCGATGAAAGAACCAACTTTCTCGAAGTTAAAAATGAACAAAAAATCAAGGAATTCATCAGAATAAAGTCGCAAACAAACAAATAAATCAACCAGTTATTTTGTGCTATACACTGCTCTAAAGGAGGTATCGTCGCTTTGATATACTTAAGCAGTCAAGGAAGCTGTCTACAATACTAAAAAATTAACAGCTATTTTTGGAGGTCCAAGAACACCAACGCCTATAAAGAACGCCTAACCCCAGGTATAATGAAAGTCCATACATTCCCAGATTAGAAAGCCAATTCTCGTCCTGGCCCCTCGAGTTCCTGCTCGTATTCGACTTCCATTTTGGAGGACTTCTTCTTTGGCTTGGCTTTGGAAATTGGTGCTCTCTTCCTCTTTGTGCCGGCAGCATTCTTCTTGGCTTTGTCATCCTCGCTGCTATCGCTGTCACTATCTCCACTATCCTCTTCACCAGTAGCTTCCTCATCACTTCCAAGCCAATCCTCAATATCGCCCAAGTCTTCTTCATCTTCTCCCAAGTCACTAACATACTCCACATCACCAACACCCTCCTCATCTTCGTATTCCCCTTCTTCCTCAAATTCATCATCTTCGATACCTTCATCCAGATCCTCGTCTCTGGTTCCCTCTCCACCTCTCTCCAAGCCCTTCAGAACCTTCTTCCAGATAGATTCGCTAACGTTCAATGGCTGATCACCATAAGCACCACTTCTCAATCTCTCAATCAATTCTCTCTCAATTGCTCTCTCAACCTTTGCAGCTGCCATTGCCTTTCTCTCTCTGGTCTCTTCTCTTCTCCTAACCTTAGGTGCCATCTTTGGAACAAGTTTTTCACCCAATCTTTCGTCTTCCTTTGCCAATCTCCTCATGCGAACACCGACTTGTGTCAATCTCGTAAGTCTCTGCTTGCACTTGTGAATGAGAAAGTTAGGCCAGTATTTTAGTTTCTCGTCGATTTGCAGTAATGCGTTGGCATAATTGGAAGATAGCTTTATGCGTTCCCATAATTTCGATGGCATGTGTGCTCTCTCGATCGTCTTCATGTAAAGATAAAGGGTACCGGTTTGAGGATTTGCTCGAATAGTTGCATATCGAGAGTTTGCGAGAGGACATGATTGTCGATTGCATAGACCAGTAACATTGTATTCGTTGCGACAGAAAGTCTGATCTTTCGTAGTCCTGGTAATCATCAGTAAGGTGAAAATAGTCATGTAATAATCAATTAACTTACTTGAGCTTGAAAGAGCAGAATTGTTGGTTAATAACCTGCCAAACAATTTCGTCTGACGACATATTGATTAAGTTACTTGAGACGTTGAAGTTGTTGTTTTGTGTTCTTGAAGCTTAAAGTCTCTTCTTCTTCATCACAGAGATATTTTCCATGAACTTTTTTTCGGGGGAAACGAATTCTGCCAAAGAAGGCGGTGGAATAAATCACGTGCTTGCATCATACCTTTTCGTACCTCTCTCATTGGTCCATGCGCCGGTATTTATTTGACCGATTAGGTAGGCTCACCGGGAACTTGATGGAAACTTGCCTGAAAAGAGCTTGACGGGAAGCTCACTGGGAGTGCAATACAGGCGTATATGTTACAAGAGCTCAAATTTGAAATTCAGAGGTCTTATATCGCGATCAATATTGTCAAATTAGAGATAAGCTTCTTCTAGGAAACATTTTCTCTTCATTTTATTATAATGTAAAAATATTTCGATCTATATCCATGAAAGAAGCATAAAGGATCCTTCAAAAGCCCCCTAACGGTACCGAAGTTTCCCCTTGACGTTTCGCTTCTTCCATGGATAACACCATGGATAACATCATCTCCACTCACAACAGCCCTTCAAGACTGATACCTACTCCTCAACAATATATTATATAAGAGACTCACAATCTACGTTAATATCCTTCCTGAATATCAATCTTGACAAGCCAAACTTCATCACGTAAATCTACCGGGAAAATGTCCTCAACATCCGAAAGCTATCCTACCTACATCTACAAAATCCTCCCATCTGATGCGAAGCCATCCTCGCCTCTTCCAGAAGCTCTCCCAGTCTCCGATTTAGACCAGAGAGATGGGTTTGTTCATTGTTCCACCTCACAGCAATTACTAGGAACTTTGAACGCATTTTTCTCGTATGTTGATCCCCTGTATTCCCAGTTCTTGTACTCGTATAATTCCACACCCTCTCTAGATACTATTTCCTCCAATTTTCCAGAATTAACACATATCAGAAATGAATCTCACGTCTACATTCTCCGCATCAAGTACGAGAAAGTAGCTTCGTACATCAAATGGGAGAACGCAGTAGGTAAACAACCAGAGGAAGTAGGTGGATGCTGGGATACGGAGGGGAAAGCAGGGTTCTTTCCTCATATCTATAATGGATTGAAGGTGGGAAAAGACGAAGTTGATGATTCGGAAGAATGGAAACAGGGAAATAAGGGGTGGTCGGGTGAGGGCTGGTGCTGGGGGAAGGTGGACTGTCCTGTTTAGTCACGGGATGGGGAAAGAGGAGAAGGTGAAAAGGTGAGAACTAAGATGGATGGTGTCTAGAAGAATGGGATATTCTTCGCCTGTGACCACTGTTTGACAAAGTGCTTTCGGAAGGGTTCTGTGGGACCTTGAATATTCAACGACGAAGTCTAAGTCACGTCTAGCATTTCAAGCTATTGCCGTCTCCTTTGATTCTCACGTATACGTTGTGTGCTTTCTTCTCAACATCATCTTTCCACCGTCTTCTTCAATTGCTGGTTAAAAGTACACCAGTACCGTGTTCTTTCATGCGAGGTCGGTTTAAGAGTTGCACAAGCACAAATACCAAGAGCCACTATCGCGCCAGACCTCCAACGAATAAACCATTGGTACAAGTGTTCGCCTTGACTTTATGTAGCCTGCGAATCCCTGAAGTGATGGGGCTCGCTCATAATAAGCTACGGAATAATCAAATAACTGTCACACCTGCTGCATTTTGAGGCCTCCGACATCTTTCTTGCGCTGAATAATTGTAGCTCAAAGTTGCGAATATATGTTCCAGGGTCTGTTGCGATTACGTTGCATTCCACAATACATATTCCTACTACATTGTACCGTAATTCACTTATATGAACACAAGATTGAATCTCAATTCCATCATTAAGCGTCCATTGAACATACACTTCTCGACAGCACAACCTCTAAACATCTTGCTGCCACAAAATATATATCAGTATTTCACCCAGCAGCGACGATATCATTCATCACAGCCACATCTTGACCTCGTTTTCTTTCTAACCAAAACTTTTCGTTATCAAGTGCATCCATCGATCGGCATGCAATTTCCTACATTTGGACTTCCTGCTTCTCGCAACTATTACTTTGCATCTTGGGTATTGTCACATTTCGCATTTATTACAGAAAGATAGAACAGCAGTTTCTAACAAGTTTTGTCTACCATTATATAGCAGAAACAGAAACCAGAAACCAAAACCATACTAGTGATGAATTATCTCGGTAGCGGGAGCGTTTTCTATCTGTCTCGTTTACAGTACTCGTACCTATGTAAGAGATTTCTAAAATATAACATTGAAATTTGAGAAGCGCTATTACCCTGATATCCTTTCTCAGTCTTCTTCTTACTCTTACTCTTACACAGAGCTACATATGAATCCGAGACCGAGGAAGAAGGAGAGAATATTATATCACAATCACAGGAAGATCCATATCGAGCTAAAAACTTCTAATTACCCTAGAATATTCAAAGAGTATCACTAATTACGAAGAAAGTAGTCTTACATTTCCCTCACCCCTTTATTATATCCCAGAATGTAATGGATGCAATACAACGCTCGCCACTACGAGTAATCAAAGTCAACATCTACGCCACCATACCAAATAACATCAACATCCCGCTTGTCCCTTAATAGTCGGCTCTTCATGGAGCGGCCGCCTGTTGGGGACCGTTTCTCCCGAGAGCCTTCGGCACAATCCCATATACATCTAAACGACACCAGAATGCAATTCGATTCGGTGTTCAGAGTACCAAAAGTATAATAGTTTTAACTTTTTCTAAAGCCAAGAAAAGAACTACAAACTACAGTGTAGTCAGTTATCATTATCATATCATATCACAAAGTGAAGAGAGTAACATGGATACAAAGGAAATTTCTTTTCCTTCTTGGAGAGGATATATGAGATGAGATGAGTGATAGATAGATATGCTGTGCTTGCTGTTGGTGGTGGTAGTGTAGTGCTGATATGGAAAGTTATCGGCATACCTACTAGTACTTATCGGGGTGAAAGTACGAGTAGAGTAGAGTATAGTAGAGTGTGTGATGTTTTGGGCGGAGTTTAGAGAAGGGGGGTTCTAGCGATTCTAGGGATTTTTGATTTTGGTTTCGGTTCTCACTGGAATTCAGAGTTTCAACCTTTAAGTTAGTTTAGGGAATGGGATTTTACTCGGGATATCTAAAAAGAAAACTTAAGATTCAACAAATTCTTACTATCCATCTATTTCATGCTGTAGTTTGAACTTGATACTAGGTACTAGACTAGATAGAACCTCCATATTGGTACTTACTCGAGTACACCTCGCTCGCTGGCTGAGTTGGAAGTTATTGGGAATGGGAAGATTTACTTGAATGTCTATTCCACACATACTCCATTCCTATTCTGCTTCCAGGTACGTAGTGGTGGGAACTGATACACAATACTCGAGTACAGTACAACATAGTACAACATAGTACAATATATTGCAGTGCAGTGCAGTACATAACAAACAACCAAAGCAAACCATCAAACAACCAAAGAAAGAAAGAAACAAAAGATAAATAGATTCACAATAGAGGTATCATATACAATAACTGACTTAAATCTATTCTCATCTCCCACATCTTCCACATCATCCCCCACTCCCTCCCATCCCATTCTCTCCTTCCAACCCCTCCCTTCCAACCCCTAATCTAATCACCACACCACACCCCTTAACCCCTACTCACACCCCACACCCCAAACTAAACAACCTTAACCTCCCCAAACAGTCCCGCTCTAACCTGTACCAGCGCCGCCAATTCCAAGAGAAACTCCTGCAACACAATAACATTTGTCAAGATATGACTTACGCTAACCTTCTTCTCTTCTCTGTCCCTTTCCCTTTCCCTTTCCCTTTCTCTTTCCCTTTCCATTTCTTCCCTTTCCTCGTTTTTCTTTTCCATCTCCTCCACCACCTTCCACTTTAAACTTTCAGTTCCCTCCGTACCACTACTACCCATCTCGAAATTCTCCACCAAAGTTTTACTTTCCACAGCCCCATCCGTCGTCTCCGATACTTCTGTTTCTGTTTCTATTTCTGTATCTTTCCCCTCAGTTGTCGAGTTTGTAAGATCCGGAAAGGGTATCGGTGCCATCACGTCCCTTTTCGGAGGAGATGGAATTCCCACCCTTCGATTTAAAATCCCTTGATCAATAGCCGCAAATGCCGCTGCCTGACTAGGTGGTACCCCTCTCAATTTCCCATTTGCAATTGTATCCTCATCCTGCAAGGCAATACTCCTCGAATGCGAACTAGCTCTACTGAGTGTTTCCGCGGCTATTGAGAATTGAGGCGGTGGATTTAAAGTACGATTAGTGGGTGTTGAGAAACCATGACTACCACTTGTGCTTCTCTGTTCTCGAGTTGGCTTTGAGGGGCGGCCACGAGTCTGGGGAGAGCCTGATCGGGAGGGGGTGCTAAGATCGGAGAAGATACGTTGGGCGACTTTGTCAAGGGCAGATTGACGAGGAGGTGATTCGGTGTGAGTGGATGATTCACGATGACTTCTGGGTCGATGATGAACTGGGGTGGGCATGGATGCTGCTTGTTGGAAAGCATCGCGGCGTTGTTGGAGAATATCTTCGAAGCGAGGAATCTCGGTTCGATAGCTGTTGACTTGGTCGACAAGTGTGTTGAGCCTTGTAAGTAGGTCGGGTTTTGGAGTAGCTGACCATGTAAGGCGACGTTGTGTTAGTTTGAGAGCTCGAATTTGTGCTTTTTCCAAGATTTCATCGGGATCTCCTATATTAGCAAGAAGAAGGTCGTCCACGATTTCATCTGCTCTTCCTTCTTCAGACTCCTCATATACATATTTTGAAGGATCAGGTAAAAGCCATCCATCAATATTCATGAAACCACATGTTGCCAAATCCACAATTGTAGCTGTCAAAGAAAGATTTGTCTCGACCGGATTTATGAAAAAAGTTGATAAGATATCAAGCAAGGTCACAAGAACAGGATCTTCTGGTCTCAAGGTGTGTGGTCGAATATCTCTCGGAGCACCGGGAATTGTTGCTTGCGAACTTGGAAATTTCGAGGTTCCACCAGCTGGATTGGGCGCAACAAGTGCTAGAGAACATGTATGACTCTCCAAAATGTTCATACTATCCTTGATATGATTTTCATAAACTTCATCAAAGTCATCAACTCCACCGAGATCTTCGGCCATTGTAAGTAAGCACTCTATTTCTCTTTCATGAGCTGCAATAGAACGTTGGGGTCCGTCACTCAGTACTTGACCCGTTCGAAGCAGTGTAGTCACAGCATATCGATGATGTCGCTTCAGAATGACAGATACAAGCTGTAATGTAACAGTCACAGTCTGTGAACTTTCTGATCGCAAACTTCCTAGAATAAGATCCACCAGATTGTACAATGCAGGCGCACCCCCTTCTACCTGCAAAGCCACCAAGGTTGCGAGATCTAAAGACTTTCGTTTTCTCGCAGCGCTCACAGAAGCTTTCGAGCCTGTAGGCGCAGGTGTTGTATCAGGCAAAGCGAGAAGATAGTGAAGAATGAGATGTATCATATCGGGATGATCCAATGATTCCAAAATTCGTCTTAGATATGTCAAGACTGCAACCGATGATCCTCCATCAACATCTGAGGACTCGAGCAAAGATGGATAACTATGAAGATTAGATTTATCATTTGAAGGATGGATATGGAATCATACAGTAATTGTTGCAGGAATATGACCTGAAAGTGTTCCAATAGTGTCTGTTTCACTTCCACAGACTTGCAATGATTCAGAACATCTTGCCAGAAGACCAAATGTGAAAGAAAAGTCTCCATATGCGACTGATAATCCTCATCGACCGAGCTCACAATCTCATGTGTTGTAAGAGGATGTCGATAATCAGAAAGAGCTAGAGCAGGAGGTAATGCATCGGGAGGATGGTCGATCACAAGCTTTCGACTAAGCTGACTATAGAGCGCACCAAGACCCGTAGCCATGAGAGTAGCTAAATCGCTCTCAACTATCCATTGCTCCAGCGCCACATCATTCGATGCAGCCTCAATAATATAAAGGAGACCCGTCCGTGCAAAATCTCCACATCTCCCTTCCTCATGTATGTAGTCAACCAACAAATAAAACAGCTGGAAATCCTCCTTATGCGTCTTCCCCGCAAACTTCTCATGCGGATCTTCAGCAAACCCCTTTGAAACATCATCATCCCTCCTTTGCGACGTGAACCATACCGGAAGAATCTCCGGATCCAGCCTAATCTTCGTCGTAATATTGAACGCCAACTCCACCACCTCCACCACCAATTCCGAGCCCAAACTTATGCTATTCGTCCCGGTGATACGAATCAACAAATTCATGAGACTCTTAGCAAACACATCATTCTCGACGAAATGCTCCTCCTCGCTATCAAGCAAAGCAGCAAAGAGAGTTACCGCCTCTCTAATAATCCCCTCATGATACGATGTCGTTGCTATCTTGCCAATCGAAATGTAAATTTGTTTCTCCGCCGCAAAAGCTATGCAAGGATGTGGTAAAGGGCGTCTTGATTCATCGCTAAGCACTCGAGTGATTTCCGAAAGACAGATTCGTATCTGTTCTGCCGCTTCATAATCTCGAGCTAGATTCGATGCACTGCGCCATAATTGCTGACATTACATTCCCATCAGTTCTCTTCTCTTATCTTCTCTTCTCCCTTTGATTCCCCCTCCTTTTTAGGATCCGCAGACCAGGAGCACATACCAAAAGCCGGTTATATTCCCTCTTAAACCTCACCAATCGTTTTTCCGGATCATTCGACGTAGTTTTGCTGCCGACTGGCGCGAGGGATGTGCCCGCTATCAAACGTTGCCACTAGAAATTGTTAGTAAAGATAATTTCACATATGGTTTGTGTGTGTGCGATTCGTCGAATATAGATTCTGTATGAGCAGAATATACATTCTGTACAAGTACACTCATACCCATACTCCCCTCATACTTCCCTCTCACAACACAACACTCCTCTCACACCCCAAACCCCCCTCCCTCCCTTCCCTCCCCCCAGCAAAACACACCACAACACAAAAACCCCAACCATAACATAGCATAACACAAAACAAAATAACTTACAAAATCCATAATTCTGGAACCCGAGGAGGCATCATTCATATCAATGCAAATGCGAATACCAGTACCGAGTACAAGTATACGAGGTAGGGTATTTTATCGCATAAAAATATGTCCGAGGGAATGAATGGGTCTGGGATGCTGGGTGCTGGACGCGTGAATCGCGTGAAACGCGCTTGCTGATTTGGTTTGGGAGTTGGAGTGAAGTGGAGGGTAAATGCTAGATGGGTGTGTTAGTCAGCATGGCATGGGTTATGTGTTATGGTATTAGATATTACTGGTAACTAGATGTTAGTGATTTGCACCCTGTTTTCAGCGACTTCCTCCCACTGTTTTATGCGGCCATTATACTCGCTTGATTACTTATCCTTAGGCCACCAGAAATTTAACAAGCTTAGTCTCTTGCTGCTTTACAGTTGCTGTGTGATGACATTCTTGTTCAATTCCCAAACTCCAAACTCCAAACCAACATTTTCATGATCATCTTCTTTATTTCCCTATCTCACTCTTCTTCAGTTCCTCAAACTTTGCTTTTTTCTTTTATAAACTTTTTATTCTATAAACTTTATTTTGAAATTGTTTAGTTTTTGCTCTTATATGTTATTGAATTTATATTACAATAGTTCAAGAATCATTGCTCTTCAATCATCAGAAATCAGATAAGTTGAGAACATCAGATATAACCTCATTATATTCTAAGTACTGCAAGTTTGAACGGTCTTGTGTATTCTGTTACAAGTAAAATATCCACCTCATTCTCTAGCCTCCTTTACTATCAAAATATGCTAATGTTTTGTTACAAAGCCATTGAGTTATTGCAAATTGTGATATGCTTTGCCTTCTTTCTTGATGATATATTCAACGTCGAGTCCTTCGTTATAATAAATATAGACCACCCGCTCCAATTTTATAGAACAAGAAAGAACAATTAAGAACATATGAATCGCAGGTTAAAAGAAAGAATAAAATGAATCAGCAGCGAGGATTGTTTTTTGCTATTGTAGATAGGTTTGGTCTTAATCAAGATTCAGGTTATAATTCTCAGTCCGATCTGGAATTCGGTACCGATACTGAAGTTAGTTATTATTAGCAGATGATGAACGAGTTTGAAGAAAAAGATATTACATTATCGAATCCTAATGATGAGATTAAAGTTATGATGGAAGTAGAATTGGAAAGATAGGAGTAATAAGAATACATTTTGCAAATATTTGAGTTATTGTGACGGAACAGACGGCTCTCTTCCACCCACTGGCTTATACTACGTACGTAGCATGATACGATGGCTCTCTTGGACCTTCCTTTCTATAGCTCTAGACCTAGGCATCGTACGATGCTTATCTCTAGGACTCTTTCACTCTTTTGGGCCTAGCCCTTATGGCTCCCAGTGCCTGTATATATAGTCCTCCTTTTAGCACCCTACATAGCTCTTCACTTGTAGATTCTAAGTACACAATCGGAGTCCTGTTTATACCCTTTTGGTCACATTATAGTATATCTAGTTTATAATCACGTGACTGTAATTATATGCTCAGATTCACATACTCTAACTCATTTTATTAATCACTTACTACTCTTATCAAAATTGTGACCA